CACGACAATATCTAGGCATAGAAAGACCTAGGTGCAACAATATCTAGGCACAGCAAGATCTAGGCACAATAATATGGCTGGGTGCAACTTTTATGTAAGTAAAACTTATTAATACGGCAAATATTTTCTTAGCACCAGACCTTAGCAGAGGTTCTTTTCCAAAATCACACCTTTCACACTTTTTTTCAGCGATTTTTTAGAGATAGTAAATGTTTGATTTCTTGACTAGCTTTATACATAATAGATAGTAAAAATGTTGAAGTTTATGCCACTATTTTTAGATTTGCAATATTTTGATTAGTTTAGCTGCTACAACATTTCTACAAAATGTGGGACGCGCATCCCGATTTACCCTCGCCCATCCCTTTTTACCCCGTTTGACGGTACCTCATCCAAGTTGATAACATGAGGGATGAAGGTTTTTGGTATATTAATATTTATTCTTTCCTGTGATCACAAAGGTTGTGCAAGCATGAATCTGATGCCAGGAACCTAACAAATCTTCAAGCTGTGAGGGAATGGCTTTTTGCTCCATGTATTTTGTGTTGCCATTCCTTCTCTCATGCATTTCTCCCTAATCCCTTGTGTCTCTTCTCGTTCCAGATCACACTTATTCCTTCTATGTGTGTACGTGCAGGTACAGATCACATTTATAGATCACGTGTATTGACCATTGAATTGTGTTTCATTTGTCCTGCTGTTAGGTTGTTTCATCAAGTTTTCACGAGATAAAAGCCAATACTATATTGGTCTTACCGGACCTTTAGAGCTCAAATGTTAGTAGTGCCCCTAACAAAGCAGCAAAGACCAGCACTCAGGCAAATTGACAGTTATATAATTATTATAATTCTGAAAATCATAGAGCCACTTTAAAAAATACCTTTCATCATTCATAACATTACCCTGAATGAACAATTGATAGACTACATTACCAATAAAGCCACTGCTGCTTCTACATAAACAATTACTCAACTTTTTTAGTTAACCAACAGCTGTTTTGAACACATTCCAGAATGACACCATCAGCAATGCTACAATGAATGAACATTGCACTACCTGGAGCTGGTAGCACTGGCACTGATATCAAGTACTAGTAGGGGTAGGCAGAGAGGCCTATAATACCTATACACTTTTCAGTTGAATTTTTTTCTTACTAATCAGTATTCTAGATTATTTTATAGCCTAGAACATTAGTGAGAATACTTAGTATTCACATCAAGTTGAGAATCAGGAGTGAATTCACTCCTGATGCTCAAATTATATGTACATTAATGACAATTCATTCCAATATTCACAAATTGTTTGCTGAAAAATCATGACCTGAATAATAGAAAAACTAACAAACAAAATTATTAAAAATGGATGTAAAAAGAAGCTTCATAATAAATGTCAATAACTTTAATGAGCCAAGTTTGTGATTTTTTTCCTCCATGTGAAGCCAAGCAGCATGCTTGTGTAATTGACAAGAGTTTGTGTGCTAATCCAGTAAACAGCATATCCATGACTATGCAGCATATCCATGACTATATATGGGATGGAACTAAATGACAGTATTCAATAAAACGTATGTTTCCAATGCAATGCATGATGCATACCTTGCTGAGCATGCACATATTATTAATCAGATCAGGATATGGTATATACAGGGGGGGGAAATAAATATTCGTACACTTGAAAAATCGTATTTTAATGGATGTAAGTACACAAACTTAACAGGAATAGTGATTTAAATTATGTATAGAGACGCATAGTATTCAAAAATACTATCAAAAGAAATTAAATCTCAATGCAACAAAAAACACTGCAACATGTTCACTTTTCGGGGTGAAAAAAGTATTNGAGCCAATTGTAAGAATTGATTTCAAGTGATCATCAGACAAATTTGCTTGATAGTTAGATTTCACATACTTCATTTTGGAAAATGTTTGTTCACAACAGTATGTTGAACGAAAAATGGACACAAAACTACAAGCAAACTTTATCAAATTTGGAAACTGATCGGGCTGCAGGCATTTATAGAACTCAATCAGATTTCCTTCTCGATACTTATCCGTCAGTTTGTCATCTGCCCGGAGATCAATAATTTCCATTTGAAATTGAGTTGGAAGATTTTAAGCATTGCAGTCAAAAGGGATTACGAAAGAGCTGTGCTCCCTGAAACGGAAGCAGCAACGCCCCACTTGGCCTCCAACCCCACAATATACAGTTATACATGATTGATTGGTTGTAATGCATATTACATACTTACCAGCACTAGTATCTGTACGTCACACTATCAAGAGAGAGGAAAACTGACTCAGACTGAGCGCCACCAGTCAGCAGGTCCCAGCTTTGAATAATTCTGCGATGCCATTTGTACAATAATGATTTATTAATTCCACGATTTCATCCGGCGGGCCGCGGGCCGGATGAAATAGTGGGGCGGGCCGGATGTGGCCCGCGGGCCATAGTTTGGAGACCCCTGGTATAAAATACCAGTCAGCATCTGCAAATCATTGGTCGAGACGTATAGAAATAGACTGGTATCTGTTGAGCTGAATAAAGGGTATTCAACCAAGTATTAAATTAAAATAATGCGGATTTATTGTTTTGTACGAATACTTTTTCACCCGAAAAGTGAACATGTTGCATTGTTTTTTGTTGCATTGAAATTTTATTTCTTTTGATAGTAGTATTTTTGAATACTATGCGTCTCTATACATAATTTAAATCACTTTTCCTGTTAAGTTTGTGTACTTACATACATTAAAATACGATTTTTCAAGTGTACGAATATTTATTTCCCCCCACTGTATGAAGTGCCAGAATCCAAAGTGGAGTGCCACCATTATAGTAGCTGTCATTGATTTAAAGAAATACTTCATTACATTTTAATACTTTAATACTTTTTCAGAAAAATTTTAAATTGGCACTTGAAGAGATTAGTGATGAATTATTTATTAAACTGAAATACCTACATGAGATTCATTCAACACTTGGTCTATTCTATGGTGACAATAGTATTTATGCTACTTGTTATGAGCCATATATTTACAATCTTTTGAACAGGTGAACTTTCAAGGAGAATGTCAATAAAAAGTTATGTTTGTGTTCTTCTCTTGAATCTGTCACCAACTTTAAACTTCACCTAACAATTATCCTCAGCAGTCAGCACCCTAAGTGGAAAATTAGATAAATGACACCTGTGAATGATATAAAAACATTCATGCTTTATGATACTTGCATTTAATTTTACCCATTTTTATGCCACTTTCCCAATTTTTCTTATAGAACTTGCTTGCAGTTAATTTTAACCATTTTTACACCCCCTTGATAATTTTTCTCATATGAACCAAGAGAAATATACCCATTGCTGTGCACAATTTTTGAAAACTGCTTGTAAAAGGAAAGTTTTAAACTGCAATTCTTTGAAAGTTTTGCAAAATATCATAGATTGATAAACGAGGCAAAATTGCCCTTACTCACAGTCAATTTTACCCATTTCTACCATTCTATGATCTTTGATAATTTTTTGTACTGATCAAGAAAAATGGCACATTTTTGCCTACAGTTTTTGGAAAGGACCTGAAAAATGATTTGCTTTTCAGACATTTTTGTTTAATATTTCAGATCAAGGTGAAACCCCTCATTTTTTTGTTCGTATATTCTAGATTGATCCAGTCTGGCAGCTCTGGCTGTCAGGGGAGTGGCAATTGTACCAGTTTCTTGGGGAAACTTGATCAGTTCTAAAATATCAGAAAAATATATAAGAAAAATAGTATATGTTTTTTCTTATGAATCAAATAGGTACCGTAAAATGGGGTAACTTAGACCGGCGGGGTAACTTAGACCACTTTTCATTTTTTTAACAAAAACCCCCACAACTCAAAAACTATTTGACATAGAAAAATAAATCATGATGAAAATTTAAGGCTTGATAATTAAACACAAATTTAGCAAGCTATACAGGATAATGACGTAAGTATGATGCAATATTACCATGAAAATGTTCTTTTAAATAAAACAAGTTTCAACTTCATAACGTTCTTAGTTTTTTATTTATTAACAAATTAAAAGGGTTACTTAATTCTGAAACACCCTGTATAAGATACCAAAGAAAATATTGAAGCAGCTTAGCAGCCAAACTGCCCATAGCCACAGGCTCACAGCATCTGCGTCACTGCGTGCAGCTGTGCACAGCCCACAGGGACAGGGCCCAGTCCATAGTGACAAACCAGAGATTTTTTAGAATCAGTTCATTTTTAATTTCCTTATTTACCCAAGATTTAAACCAATTTCTTATACATGATGGTGCTGGTATCCAGAATACTTTACTGGTCTACTTATAGGACTCAAAAATGAACTTGAGGGAGAGTCTAAAAAACTCTCTGCTTTGCCACTATGGCGGCCCACTGCCCACAGCCACAGATGGGTTAGAAATAAAAAATTTCAACAAATTAAATTAAAGAGGGCCCACTAAATGAGTGAGTTATAAATTGACTGGAGTCTGGACTCTGGAGTCTGGAGCATCAGACAAATTTTTACAAGCATCTATAACTTTATTATAATTATGCTACTATATTTTCATAACAATGTATCTGTATTTTTAAGTAATTTTCTTTAATCCCACTTTCTAGTTTCTTCATTCAATACGGTGCCAGTTTTTCTATATCAAGTTTATGCTCATCCATTTTTCAATTTAATTCAGAGATCTCAGACCATCGGGCATCGACTAGTAGGAGGTACCTAACTCTTCATTGACTTTTCAATAAAATTTGCAAGTGGAACTGAACAAAATTAAATAACAATGCTATTTAAGATCACACAGTTTGTCTTTTTCAGGTACACAACATATCGAGATGTCGTATTTCTAATTATTGCAAAAAATTCTAACAACTTGACGTAAGTCACAAGTTGACGACTGACGAGTAATACAGCGGCCAGCCGGCCGCGACTCCTCAATCCTCATAACAGCCTAATTGTATTATTGGTTAAAATTATAGTATCATAATTTTGCTAACCTGAAACGACGAGGGCTTCATTCGGCCCAACAGTGTAGATGTTGCCCATTATCACTTGCCAGACGGTATAAATATTTCAACTACGACAACAGAAAGCTACTCACTAACTCGAGCTTAGCAGACGACAGCTAATATGGATTCGCTTGTGGCTCGTTATTTATGAAAATTATCATACTAAATCGATCTAACTTTACACAGTTGTTTGTCACGTGTATTCCGTCATCACTTTTGAGTCGGCTTCAAGTTCTTGACGCTGAAATTCGGTGCCAAAACAAGGAAATATGTCCAACAAACTGTCACTGCAAAGACACGCTAACCGTCCCCCAACACTTTTCAGACGTAACTGACCTACTACAAAATTCCCATTTCCCAGCGGAAACGCTGGGAGTTACTCCGTCCGATTTGGGTGCGCTAATTTTGTTTAGTTTTTATGTCATATCACAGTGATGTCGGCGCTGAAGAATGGGTCTGTTGCCGAGTTTTGTATTTGAACGATAGTTTGAATAGGTCTGTTGCCGATTCTTGTAACAGACGATAGTTTGAAATAGCTACTAGACTTCCACCAGGTTCGATATGGTGCTAGACATTTCAAGTCTGAACATATATTCAGAGATGGGCAGTAGCGCACTACATGTAGCGGCCGCTACATTTTCAGTAGCGGTAGCGGTTGCGGCGCTACATTTAAAGCAATGTAGCGGTAACGGTAGCGCCCGCTACATTTAGAGCATGTAGCGGTAGCGGCCGCTACATTTCAAAGTAGAGCTGCCCAGACCACATCAGCAGTCTACTGATGTCTTTCTTGGAGCACCATCGTGCTCTAAGCAATTCGTGCAGCAGCAATTCGTCGGCTGGGACAATACCTGCTAAGCTGCAGCATGGTAAACACCCTATGAAGGCGCCAGTAACTAATCATTTTATCTCTTCTTTCACACAACAACCTCCGGCTGGTGAGAGTGAGCTAGGTAGAAATTAATCTGTGAACGACTGTTGGCAAGAGAAAGGCTCAGAGAAAAATCAAGTTGTGCTCAGACTGGGAGGTGTGATCTCATCATACCCGAAGTCTTAAAATCAATTATAAAAAAACGTAGCGGATTCACTATCACTTCGTGTGAATACTTTTGCATCGTCCACGAACAAACGCATGTCACTCTGAATGCATCCGGGCAAATCGTTAATGTACAACACGAAGAGCACTGGTCCTAAGACCGATCCTTGAGGAATACCACTGATGACAGATGCTTGGTCTGAATGTGAGATGTTCACTACCACACACTGACTACGATTTGTCAAAAAGTTGTTGATTCACCCATACACCTTGCCACCGATTCCGTAGGCCTTGACCTTACTGAGCAGACGTTGATAACTTCGGCGACAAGAGTGCAAAATTCTGCTATGGTCTTTGTTCGGTCTTAAAGTTGCTGTAATTTAAAACACTTACATCAAATTTTATGAAAAAAAAAATATGTAAAATCAAGTAAGTGACGCAGTTCTTAGTTTATGAGTTATGGTTTCTGTTTAGCAGGAACGTTTAAATTATTTATTTCGATTGTCACTTTTCATTTTTTTACATACTATTGAAATGGTACATTAACTGCAATAATACATTAAAACGTGAATTAACCGTCACTGAGATATTGGCGCAACATAAAATGATAAAAAGGAAAAGCCATTCCAAATCCCAAAGTTTCGTTTCCTAGAGCGGGTGTTACTACCTGAAGCAATTCGGTTGCTGGCTGCTAGACAATAAAGATATTGGTGAACATTTTAAATTCTGTCGGAAATTTTATATGTATTTTGAAGAAATTATGAATAATTGTGCTATGACGCATCCGTTGAACGATAGCCTTAACCTGGGCAAGGGATTATTTGTGTTTTCAAGGCCTCTGTAGCGTCCTCCAGGTCTGGCAGCTGGGGAGTCTCATAGTTGAAGGCATGATTTTCGTCTCCAGCCAAATTTGATGAACTTCATTTCCAGCCACTGAACTCTAATGACTGATCGTATCAGAGTGCAGCGTCATTTTTTTTCCCGCGGTAACGTCTTTAAATGGAAATTTATTGACTGTAATTAACGATAGTTGATGGAGATGACTGCCTAGTGAGCGTTGAACCCTCTTCTGTGGAAGCCTTTATTGAATAACATGGAGGTGTAAAGAAAATTCAGTTTTGTAAGTTAACATATTTTTTTACAGGTCAGTGTGAAAAAAAATACAGTCTTCCTCTGCACGAAGCTACTTGCGGAGATACGCCTATCGATTGCAGCTTTAAATTCAACACCGATCAATTACCAGTGCTCCTTGTTAAAAATCACGGAGAGCGTATTCGATCTCTGGCTAGTCATCTATACACGATATTTTGAGCAACGTGTATTGAGCAAATTTTTACCTAGATTTGAAGGCTATGGGGAAGCCTTGTCGAAGCTGTAAAAATAAAACAAAAGCATGGGCAAATATACTACGTTGCAATGCCGAAATTAATTTGATATAAACTAAATAGAGCAAACCCTCACTTGACAACGGAGTTCCACACAAAAAGCGACTACTACTACTCTACTACTACTCGACCTCTTCGGCCTTTATGCCTGGCTCCTGGTGGGCGGCCCCATGTGTCGCTAGGATTTTTAGCAGAGGACGAATGCGCATCCACCACTGGGACTTTACGAGTCGGTGATCCCAGTCAGTCAGGGGCTTTAGCTCTGATACGGGCGTGAACCTGTATACAGGTGGAAATAAAATATTAAAAATTTTTCCTGAAATGCATGGAGCGAGTGAATTGGGTAAAACATAAAAATTTTATTCTATGCTAATAAAATCATAATCATTAATCGCCGCAACTAAACCAAGTGTTCGCAAAATGAAAGCGAGAAGGAAAGAATTTAGGTCACAATATATGAACCTTTTTATTAACAATTAGTATTCTTTGATGCTTCGCTCACAACTCAAACTGCTGTTTTGTCTTGTAAGAAAGTTTCTGGCACCAACACAAACGAAGGCTTCACGTGACTCTAACATACAGAAAAAGTAACATTAATCATTTAATAAATATATTAGCTAACTGATGCTGGCAGATACTCGCTCATAGTACCTGCCCTGGAGACTCAGAACGACAGCTGTGTTGGCATCGTCACAGTAGACCGTGTCATCTAGCTTGCGATACCACTTGGCCACGGTGTCCATCAGCCAACGGACGGATTTGGCAGCCAACTTCCTCCCCATGTAGCGGTCGTAGACGCTAGGGGTGTCGCCCTGCTGCACGTAGCCTGCTCAACCGAACGATGTGACATCTTCACTTTATGTAAAAGTGATCCATAATATGAAGGAGGTATCACAACTGAATTTAGCCTTAACTAAGTTTGTGGAGACAAACAATCGCATTTTCGAATAAAAGTTTTAGACGTAAAATAATGTTTATTTGTCATTCAAACATGCTAACATTTAAAGAATAATGCAGTGCATAATAGTGCAACGTTATAAACGGTAAACTTTCTGTGCAAGTTATAATGGAATGTACACGTTCAGATCCAGTGCATGAAAAAAGATTAACCGGGAATGTTTTCATGTCTGCAGCTGAAGATGCCTTTGCCTCCCTCGGAGAACACCCTGTATATGAAATCTGTAGTGCAGTTTGCACTATCACTGCGGAGCACAAGTCCGCTCTGCACACCCTGCGCCATCTTGGCGACCATTTGGCACATGTCCAGCTGCAGCTCCTGAGGCACAAGTTCAGCAAAGTATTATGTGCTCAAGGATATAGAATTTTACGGTTCATTGAAAATAAATTCTCAATATACATCAACCAATGACTCACTGGAGTACGAGGCAGCAAAACAGGCTGCAATATAAATTAGATAATTTACATGAGAGAGAAAACAAGTTTTGCTACCAAGTTTAACAATGTAACTGACCTAGCAAACCACTCATTGTCATTAGATTATGAGAGCGTTTTTACTCGCGTTTTTCGACTCTGTTTGTGAATAGAAATCAGCCAAAATAGGGCGTAATAAATAATAGTGCTCTCACCTGGATGCCACAAGGCTCCTCATATATGTAAGCTGCATCAGCACCCGCCGCTATACCCGCTAGTGTGGCGAGGTAGCCGCAGTAGCCACCCATGGTCTCGACCACAAACACAGGCCTCTTCATGCTCTTCGCTGAACGCCGAAGGCGATCACAAAACTAGAAAGTAAATCATCAAATAGAGAAAGAAAATGAGTTCTAGCGGGAGGAGAAGTGTTTGATAGATAAATAATGCAATAGGTGCACATGTACGAGTGTCACAAAGCTGCTGCACATCTTTTCGCACCTCAACAATCTCGTTGAGCGCAGTGTAAGTGCCAAGGCTGACGTCGGAGCCTGGCACGTTATTGCAGATAGTTGCAGGAATCACAACCATTGGGATGCAGAATTGGGGATATTTTCCCCGAGCTTCGTATAGCTGTACCAAGCTATGGTACGCGTCAAAACCTCCGATGAGCAACAATGCGTGAAGCTTGTACTCCCGGAACTTTGCTGCCACCTGAGGTTCAGATGCAATTAACTTAGTGGATTAAATATCATTGGCAAGTCATCTGCCAGAGAAAACTTGGGTGTAATATGATATGAACAAGCCACTTTATAAATTTGCCAACTGATTTTCAGCATGAGAAGGAACAAAATAAAACAGTCCTGCTTAGCAGCGCTAGATTATAGCGCAGCATATATAGCGCTAGATTATAGCTGTGGTGGTGCAGTGGTGAGAGACTGTCTCTCGCACCCAGCGCCCGGGTTCGAGTCCCACTGAGGACAAGTTCTACCGGGAAGCTCAGCTCATGGTCAACTCAGCCATTCATCCAACTCTGGTTGATAAATGAGTACCTGGCTTGTCAAGGGTGTTGTGTAATGCAATCAAATGGTTCTGGCGGGTCAGCGAGCCAGTGATGGTCGTAGAACTACCAGTGGCACCAAGTGCCCGCAAAAACTGACCTATCACCCCCCCTCCTCCCTAGTCGCCACTACCAGGATGGGCAATTTCAACAACAACATAGCGCAGCAAACATAGCTACAGCAGCAGCTTCAAACCATCAAAATATGAAATAATGAACATGTGCATCAATACTGACCAATTCGAGATTCTTAACCGGCAGAGAGCGGTTGGTTCTCAAAAAGGCGCCACCCTTGCGGATCCAACCGGTTACCTCTGCCCAGGACATCATTTTTACCTGTAACATATGAAAGAAGTCATCGATGTGACAAATTCTCAGAGCAACAAGTATTGTTATATTAGTTATGCGTGAAAATTATTAGGTATGCTACGTTCATAAACACAGCGAGAAAACATATAGAAGGTAAGCATCAAATAAAATGTTACGCTGGATTTAAAGAAGAAGTAATAATTTAATTTTCCAGCTAAGTCCATGAATGCTCCAGCAAAGGTCGATCAATCATCACAGTCCAAAATAAATCCGGTAGTGTATGGGAAATTGATCACCTTGATTTATAGTTATCTATATTAATTTCAATCTAATATTAACAGACAAACGGCCCGCAGTAAGGGGCTCAATCAACTCTTATAAAGCAATTAACACATGCTGTCCGGCATTTTGATTGTATAGCATCAAAAACTTCCTATATTGCATAAGTACTAAACGAGCAAACTAGCAAAACTCTATGAATAACAATGTACAAATAAATGAAAGAAAGTACGCACGTCTCCTTCGACGAGGCCATCGAAGCCGTTATATATGCCGTACACAGTGTTGCCTTTGGATATGCTGTGGCGTACAAAGGACTGCACCGCTGCGTTCATCCCGCAGGCGGGGTCGCCCACGTGCATCACGGCCAGATTGTAGCCGCCCTGGACGAGGATAAGCAAGTATATAATTGGAGATAAAAGATCTAGATGCCTCCTCCTTTTGAGCAGCTTGTTCTTCCCCGCTGAAACATTCAAGTTTCAAATGGATTAAGAACTTACCACGATGAATAACTCTGCACGCTGGATTAAATACTTACCAGCTCTACTAGTTCCATAATATTTTCACAGTGCTACACATGATCTAGCATTAATTTCCTCGACATTTTGGAAATAAATGTATATGGTTTTCCCAATTAAATGAGACCCGAAGATATAAATTCCGATCTTAAAAATATAGCTGAAAATGACCCTAAAATACGCTCTTGCATAGAACTTGCATTTCCATTAGAAGATTTGGGAGGCTTGAGGCAGCTGCGAGCAGAGTTTTGTCCCCTCATCTCGACAACTACTCTTGTCCCATCTCGAAACAGCTGATGATCGTGCGTGGCCTGCGCCACATCCTGCTTCTTGAGGAGCCTCCTGTGCCTGCTCTTGAGAGGCACGCATACTATCTCCTGATGGCCGTCCAGAGCCACCACGTATGGGGTTGAATCAGGCGTCGCCTCGTTGAGCGTTAGAACTGCGTGTTCCCCAAGATGCAACCCTGTGAATATAAAAACTCACATTTCCTACATTCAACCAAAAGAATACATCGATCTAACAGTTAAGAAAATGTTAATCACAGGAATTTTAAGAGTCAAGTTTTTAAAGTATTTCCGAAATTAGGTTAATAAAAGTTTTTCGTCAGAAATTCATCAAATGACTTCTAAAATACATTTAAATCAATCAACACAGTTACTTAAGAAAAAAACTAAAGACAACCATTAGAAAGTCCAAACGAAAATTAGATTGTCAAAGCGATAACAAGGACTCACGTTAATCCTATCGATGGCGGAAGGAGGACCGCCGCGTTGCACGTGACTAAGCACGTTGATCAGCGTGTCCCATCCCAAATTGTTGTCGATAACCTACAGGCAACGAGAGATGCTGGATTTATCAGTAATATAGGCAACATTATTATTTGTTATGAACAAGCAATACTGGATGGAAGGTATTCAAAGTAGAACGTATACTAAAGAGACCTCACCTCCTTGATGTCTTTGGCAGAGATGGGCTTTCCTTGCAGGTTGATCGCGCCTTCAGCCACTATTATGATGTGGAAACGCTGGCCCATCGCACGCTCCTGTCAAACAACGCACGATCAAAGAAAGCCAAACGGGCATTGGTTACGTTCTGGCATTTATTATGTTCACTTTATAATCACAAAAGCAGGCTTTGTACAATATGCAGGCCAATTTTTTTCAAAAGCTGATTAGAAGAAATTGTGGGGTAGAGAAGCAATATCAAATAGACCAGCACAAAAACTCAGCATGCAGAATTGAGTACCAAGAAAATGCACCAGAAAAAAAACTATAGAATAGAATAAAAGTGTCGGCGTTGAAGAAATAGGCCCATGGCCTGTTGCCGATTCTTGAACTTTTCGTGACTTGATTCACAAGGGATCCGGCCTTTGGAACCCGATCTTTCCATAACTGACGATTGATTGAGATAGCTGCTGGACTTATTGCCTGGTCCGTACTTTGCTAGAAGTATACTTGTATACTTCAATGAGGTCCCCACACAGACGTCGATAACTGAGGCTTGGAAGCTTCATAATCTTTAATCTTTCCTCATAGGACTTGCCTTTCAAGCCCGGAACTATTCTTGTTGCGCGTCTTTATGCAAAGTCAACTCAGAACAGTAAGTACATTCATGCAATCAACACAGATGCCAAAGAAGCTCGTAGATGAGCACTATTTAGGCGCATAGAAGCAAAAGCAGTAAAAAGCTACTGAAAGAAGTAGCTTTTAAAAGATCACGCGGTGTTGCCGGCGCACTTGCGGGTGAGGGCAACCCTACGGTGACCTACTTATGTCTCTCAAGCAACTAAATGTAAATTATAAGCGCAGAGGCTACAAATAAAGTGTGCATGGCAGGCAGCCATGGCAATAAGAAGAGAAAATGAAAAGGCTTACCTCCCGCAGCATATCGCAGAGTTTGTCTTCCCAATTCTGCGGTGGCGGATATTTTGGGGTAAAACAGTAGACGGCCTCGGACGTGAAGGCGGCAGTCCTCGCCAGGTAACTGCGGGCAACTCGAGTTTAGACTAAATAACACTGGTAGAGAAATATGTTGTTAACTTTACTATCACATTTCAAAAATGAACGTTTTGAATTAGCTTACCTACAGTTGTGTCCCATGACCTCGATGATGGCGCATCGCTGGTGACTTTCGACCGTGGGGACGATCGCATCGATGGCCTCCACAATGCGGTGCAGGGCAGAGTTCGTGCCGAGGGTCTCCTCCGTGTCACAGAAGTCGCTGTCGATAGAGCTCACCACGCCAACGATGTTCAATTGCGAGTGATTTGATTTTTGTTCCTCAGTGATAAAACCTGCCCAAAAAACTAGTGGTCACACCCGGGACGTCGTGACCAGACATAAGATCGGTGCACAGGCAGCTGCACAGCTTAACCACAGTGCACATTCAAACGAAATTACATGTTAAAAATGACAAGATATGATCGTGTTTACTCCAATAGAAACCCGAGGAAACTTTAAAAGATTCGTAAGTAACCGTATTTGGGATAAATGTTGCTTCATCCGTACAAAAAATACAAGATGATTGAACTTCGAGAGCGTAATTCCATCTTTTTAATACATGATTACAGATTACAGATCACAGTAGTAACGCTCTCCTTACATTACAGAATTTCATCAGATGCACTATTTTCATAAAACAAATGGTAACTCGATGTGTGTAGCCGTTATCATCGATGTCTGTAGCCGTTATCATCGATGTGTGTAGCCGTTATCATCGATGAAACCCCCCCTCCCTAGTCGCCACTACCAGGATGGGCTATTACAACAACAACATGTGTGTAGCCGTTATCATCGATGTGTGTAGCCGTTATCATCGATGTGAGTAGCCGTTATCATAAAGGCTGTTAATATGCCTAGCCTCTCACCGTTCTCGACAAGGGTTTGCAGGAGGCCGGGCCAGTCGTCCTTGAAGATGTCGGCGGCGGTGAGGGAGTCGTCTCCACCAATAACGCACAGGTTCGTGATGCCGTTGTCGATGAGGTTCATGGCTGCCCTCAGTCGACCTTCGCGTTGTTTGAACTCCTCGCAACGCGAAGATCCGAGCATTGTACCAGCCTGATCAAAATCTATTACGTCAGCAAACCAAAAAAAAATCTTAAAAATATCTAATTATAAGAGGCAACACTCTAGAAATTGTTAACAATGTTAGGAATGATCCCTTCGCATCTTCATCACGTCACATCATCATGAAGTATTCATAAAGACTCACCGATAACTAAAAAATATCTTATAAAATACACACGCCACTCAAGTCAATGAGAAAATATCACAAACACAAGATCGACACAACTTCCAATGAGAAGCAATAATGCGCAACATAGCGATGATATCAATGTAGAAAAACAACTCTTCATTCAGTTGACAGGTTAACAGGTTATTTCTTCAATATTAACAGGTTATTCAGCAAAGACTTAACAAGACCCACCTCATGGATGATACCGGACACGGAAGACCACGAGGCTTCATAAATGTCGTCCCCGCCATCCACCATGCCTTTGTAGCCATGACGAATGAAGAATACTGTAGCGCCATAGTGAACGCCCACACCCACAACGGCACGGACGACCGCGTTCATGTGCTGCAATACGTAACTGTTACCTTTACGAAATACATTTGATGTTCTTGTGATCGATCGAAGTTCGTTCCCCGTCTCCATAATTATACAAACAAAAAATTCATTTTATTTAAAGATAGCCGCCCATGTTAAATCGACAAACACTTGTTGTGGTTCCCCGGTCTCATTTTTACAAGAGACCCGCCTCGCGCAATTACGACACCACCGACAGGGGGTCGCTCCAAAGCTGTAGGGCCGAGGTTATGTGGTGGTGTTGTCTAAGATCCTGCCAGAGCGGACATTACAGGAGAATGTGTGTAATTGTGTGGGGAGCTCCCTGGCAGGATGGACAGGTGTGTGAGTCTGCTTGGCCGATTCTGCTTGCGTATGTTTGTAGTGAAGGGTGGTGGCCGCAGCACAGCCTGGCAAGGTGTACTCTCTCCAGTCTTGAGAGCTGGGTTTCTGTGCTTCTCATGTCAGCTGGTGAGTGTCCAAGGACTTTGTTGTTGCCGACCAGCTCCAGCGTTCTGTGTCATAATTGTGTGTAAGTGTTTTTTTTTGCGCTGGTGTTGCCTTAGGGTGGGGGTACTGTGTTTAGTATGCTGGTGTAGTAGCTGTGTGGGGTTTGCACTATTTGTCTGCGTGTAGGTGGGTGGTCGCGCAGGTAGTAGTATGGGTGATCTGTGTTGATTATGGCTGCAGCTGGAACTGTGTTTCTCTCATGTCGAGGTGTGCTTTTATGGGAAGTATTTTTGTTTTCGGCGTGAAGGTGGGGGTACTTTGTGTGCAGCCTGTGACAACCCTAAGTGCTTTGTTTTGTAGTGTTTGGAGTTTCTGTATGTTGGTGTTGGATAGTGCGGGCGCCCAGGCGGGGCTGGCATATGCCAGCACTGTTCTGAAGAATTGTTTGTATGTGGGTGCTAGTGTTTCTTTGTCTTTGCCAAATTTTGTACCACCTAGGACCCTAAGTGAGTTGAGTCTGATGTTTGCGTTGTTCACTATGTTGTTGATGTGAGGGCCAAAGGTAATGGAGGTGTTGTAGGTGACCTCTAATATTTTTGTTTCGTGTGTGTGCCGGATTGGGGTGTTGTTTAGTGTGAAGTTTGGTCTGTATTGGTGCTCCTTTGTGTAGCTGGTCATATGTGTGCTTGTAGATTTACTAGGAGCAACCTCGAGTCTGTTCAGTGTAAGCCATTGTGATAAAGTGCTGGGATATGATTGTGCTTGTTGAGTACATATGTCTGCGGATGGGTTTATTGTAATGTCGTCTGCGTAGGAGGCAATGTGGATGTTTAGAGGTGGTTCGGGTATGTCGTGCATGTGTAGATTGAAGAGTGAGGGTGATAGGACGGAGCACTGTGGGACTCCGTTGGGAATGGGTGATGTGTGTGATGACTTGCCAGAGTAGTGTACGCATGCTTGTCTTCCTGATAGGTAATTGGCACGCCAGCGTTTGTTGTTGTTGTGTAGTGTGGTGTTGTAAATTTTGTTTGTGCGGGATTTGTTTTGTTTGTGAGAGGGAATTTTGTTCTGTGTGCAGGTTTGCGAAAGTTGATGCCATCGTTTCTGCTCTGTGTGAGGTTTGTGAGTAGTGTTGCGGTCGAGTGGTGAGGTCTGAATCCGTGTTGTGTTGGAGAAAGTGTAATGTGCGGAGTGGCTGTGTTCAGTATGAGGCGCTCTATGACTTTTGATGGTGTACAGAGGACTGTGATTGGTCTGTATGAGGCGGCCTCAGTGGGTGATTTGTAGGGGTTTGAGAAGTGTGATTATTTTGCCAATTTTCCAGATGTATGGTATTTTGGAATGTGAGTAGAAGTTGGCAATGTTTGTAAGTGTCGTGATTCCGTGAGGACCAAGGTGTTTGAGGTGTACGTAATGTTGTCGGGCCCAGCAGTGGAGGAGTTTTTAATTTGTTTTATGACCTTTTTAGTGTTATCTGCAGTGGCTTGGGTAGCTGTTGGGTCTAGTGGAAATAGTTGTTTGCGTCTTGATGGGGTAACCTGCTTACGTTTGCGTAGTGTTGTATTAGTACGTTTGCTTGTGCTTGTCTGGTGGGAATGTTATCTGTGTTAGTGGTGATTGCAGCGTGGGTGTGTTCTTGTTTGCTGTTCGAGTTGTGTATGCTGCGTATTGTTCTGTAAAGTTGTGTGGTGTTGGATTTATAGCGGAATATTGGTACCACTATAAGCTAAGGGAGTGCGAATAATAGGGAAACCTACGAGTAATTAGCCAGGCGGATGTTGTGAACAATGTATTTGAGTATTGTAAAGTTTGCACACCAAACGTTGGCGGACAAAGCTGCAGTGAAATGACTAGTTACTGAATTTACGAAGAAAGAAAAAGTCAATCTCTAAGAAGTTCGGATGGTTGTTAGACTGCTGACTATTTGAGGAAAAAAAATGAACAATAAAATAAATAACGAATATTGATGGTCCCTACAGATTTGTGGTCCAGTGTATTCAGAAACTCGAGCCAAGCCCGTTGCTGTTGTTCTGTGATTTTGTTCTGAATTTGTGCGTTTAGTTCCTTCATTCCCCCGAGTAGTGATTGGTGACTGAGGGGTGGGTGTTTGTCTGTGATTGTTGCGTTGACAGATGAGGCTGGCTATATCAGGGGTGAAGTTTTTTTCAACTCACAATTTTCACATAGGCTAGTAAAAAAATTCAATTTGTTATCTTTAAATTATATATATTTAATTTTTCCAACTCTTCTGAACACCCCAGAAGAACGGGAGTCAGCCAAATCTGTATTGATTAATGACGTAATTTGAAATCTTTTCTCAATGTATCCAGCAGATATAAAAATCTACTCATAAATACCTCGGGTGACCCTAAATGTATCAAATATACAAGTTAAGAGTTCCTAACTTAGCCAGCCAATCACTGTGGTCTATTTCAAGCTATACACACGAATCATGGACGAGAAATCGGCCGCTACGTGTACCCTAGAAAGTTTATAGGTGGGCTCCAGACCATAACAGAGTTACGGACCCACCATAATAAGCAACGCACCGGAGAGTCACCACCGCTGGTCAAGACGGCGATCCTCTTGCCCTTCAATTTGCTGCCGCACTCTAGGACGCGTCCCTTGGAGCTCGGGATAGGCTGCGTGGCTTCTGCCATGGTGGGTAAGTTCACTTCCTGAACAAGAAGCAAAATGTTAGGAAAAAGAGGACAAAAAAATGAATATGCCAGTGACTGCAACATGAATTCCAATGGACGTTATAGTAGCGAGTGATAGCTAATTACTCTTCGAGTGAGCACCTCTTAGCTCTTCTAAGAGCTTCAAGTGAGCAGAGAAGATCCCAGAAGGAATCCCAGTACAAACACATAGGATAATTTGCTTTGTAAAGAACAATAGACAAGAATAGAATCAACATCTTTGATGGTCGTTCTTTAGAACCTGTCGATTTGAGAAAGTCCAGCACTCGACCTTCATACCTCAAGGACAATTGAGGTATGACTGTACTTAAATCGAGGCATGACTGTACAAGCATCACATATACATGAAGCAAAATAGCCAGGATAAGCTCAACAAACACCCATGATACAAGCACAAAACAATGAGCATACCTATATCAATAACCCTTGCAATACCAAAGATTGAAATGAAGAAACAATAACTTCATTTGACATACTGTGAAATAAAGCCTAAGTAAGATGAACTTCAGCAAGACATTAACGTTAAGGCACTAAACACTATCTTATAATAATAATAATAATAATAATAGCGGTTTCAGCGTTTATTAGGCCGTAGGCCTGTCGCCGATTCTTAACATCGCAGAATATTCACAGCATTTTGCGGTCTCGAACTCGCAACTCACTGCTACAATTCTGCTGTGCTTAACCGCCCGGCCTCCTTGCCGATTCTGACCAGAAACTGGCGCACAGAGCTGGGATCGAACCCGCGCCTCTCTAGTGCGTCAATCTTGGTACTCTGAACTTTAACCACTGGGCCACCCTGCCCTTATCCTTCCTCAACCCATCTTATCCTTCGCCTCAACCCTCAAGGGACATCATTGGTTTACTCACCCTTACAATGTTCACCTCAGTCACTGGTTATGTTACACTAGTTTAAATGGATGCTGGAACGAGAAAAGAAAATACACGGCATAGTTAGTTTATCATGAATATTCAGTTAATATCGGGTAAATGGGTAAAAGCAGTAGGGGCGGGCTAAAACCTATCTAACTATGTCTGCCAGTAACATCATACTGAATTAATTAATTCAGTATGATGTTTAATATTAATGATGTTTAATATTATTGATGTTTAATATTAATAATGTTTAATATTAATAATAATTAATTTAAAAATTTCTAAATTCTACTACCATGTTTACATACACCCATCACAAAAATTCCTGTAAAAAATTATCAAGTAGCATTATCAAAGCTTATTTTAATCAGAATAAACTTTATGTTGATATGTGTGCTGTAAACTGATGTGTCTACTATTGATATGCTGAATTTGCTGGACATTTTCTTTGCCTTTATATTCTTTGTGAATGTCAAATTTAAGCAGACTGATAATATAAGAATAAACTGTACAATGTGCATTAAAATTATAATATGGAATGCTAAAAAAAATTTGCTACAAAGCCTAAATATTTGTTGTGTTAATTATTTGTAGCAAAGGTATGAAATATTAAAAAGTTTTACATAAAAGATAACTTTTAAAAATGGCCTAGGGGATGTGTACACTGTACACAAGTATTATAACAGTAAAGTTGACTATGAAATCCAAATAATTTATAAGTAAAGGACTGCATCATACATTCCAAGGTGAACACAGTGATTAAATCTTTGAAGTTTTTCTTTTGGGTGGCACACCAGCATTGTGATGTCTTGCTCCTAAACTCATTTTCCCTCATATACTGCTATAATACAAAAATTCAAAGCAATAGTAGATCTTGACATCTGAAGTGGTTCTGGCAACATATCCATCACACTAATGGTGGCAGTGCTTCAAACCTTCTTGGTGACCTGCCAGTAATATATTTGGCTGGCCAATTCTTGACAATGTTTATTTAATGAATGGAAATACACCCAAAAAATTTGTCTAATATATTCATTCATTCAAATTGCCTATTCTGTGCCTGAAGCTGACATTCATTATTGTAGTATTGCCAAATTAAATTTGGTTGGTAAAAAGTTCCAAACTAAAATGTGGTGTTAAAAATATGCACCTCAATGTGTGTGTTCATCTAAGATAATAATAATATGTATTTAAAAATAAGTTTTTAAATACAACACTTCTGAAGAATTCAGTGTCTGCAATGTTACATATGTAGAATGAATTTATAATTTTATCATCAAATATTAAAAAGTAATTTTTAAATTTTATTTTAAAATAAAAAAAATTAAATTTTTCAAAATTATTTATTCTGTCAATTGAATCATGCATTGTCTCCAACTTAACACAAGTGTGCAAAATTTCAGTTCAATTGGACAGGTAGTAGTGTGTTAAATAGCGATTAAAAGATATGTAGCAGACAAAATTGGTTTTTCAAATTTTTTTAATATTAAAAATAAAAATTTTAAAATTTTTAAAATTATTTATTGTGTCAATTGATTCATGCATTGTCTCCAACTTTATGCAAGTGTGCCAAATTTCAGATCGATTGGACAGGTAGAAGTGTGTTAAATATTGATTATAAGATTTGCAGCAGACAGACAAACAACAAGAAGTGAAGTTAAAGAGAGGTGTTGTAAAAATACATTGAAACTTGCATCATTCAAAATGGAAAAAGTGCTAAAATTAATCAATATATATAGATATTTCTAAATACTATTGAGGCATTGTAGAATTTCATATTATGCCTCAATAATATGAATAATAGAATTTCAAATTTCATTATTATGTGAACCCTTTTTAGATACATATTTCAAGTCAATTGAAATTTTTTGCAAGAATTAGGTGATAACAGGAGTTCATTATACAGTTTTAAGAATTTGCTGCGTTTTCATTAATTCCGTTCTAAGAATTTGCTGTTTTCATTAATTGTTTTAAGAATTCGCTGTTTTCATTAATTCTTTTTCAAGAATTTGCTGTATTTTAAATTGATAACTGACAGTTTGAATCTGTAGCAATGTAGTCTGTTCCACTCAATGGTCCACCTACACAGGCTACAGGTTCATCAAAATTCTCATTGGAAGATGAAATATCTCCTGGGTCACTTCTAATACCAGCACCAATAGATTCACATGACAAGGTTTATCTACAGATAAATCAAAACTGAAGTGGGCTTTCATTCTTCTTTACTTTTGTTGGCATGGTAAACACTGGTATGCAGGATGGAATTCTAAAAATTGAGATTCATATATCATTTTTGATCCACCTTCACCACTTTTTTGATTCAAGGGTTTTAGTCAATATAGAAAGGATAAAAATAGGAGGGATTAAATTTGCACTTGAAAGAATCATGAATGAAGGTTGAAATACTTTAATATTTCAATTAGACTAAATATTAATTCATTAGCAATCATCTCCAAATGAAATGCAGCAAATCAACAATTATGAATTAACAACAAATCACTATCACGCCGACAATAAGAGTTGAACACGATGCCCCACAAAGCTATTTTGCAGGAGCAAAATTGCATGGGCATTCACTTAATGAAAGCTAACAAGCAACTGCCTTTATTCAAATTAGTTAGCAATGCTGATGCTGCTGCCAGAATTATGACATTGCAACTGTAATATTATGGTGTGCATGTAGTAATTCGCTTGGGTTCTCTACATCAGCTTTGGCACATCACAGGAGATAGATCACGAGTTCCCACATAATCTTTATTACAGCAGCAGCAATCAGTATGTACAAATGATATACGGATCAGAAGGAGACTTCTGCTGAGGATGAGATCGTAAAGTCAACCACTGATATCTAAATAGCTGGTCCCTAGTAAGTTCCGGTCCGCAATAAACTTACATCCGTAATGTCGGGATAACCGCTATTTTGTAGCATAGATGACCAAAATCCTTACAGTGCAAGTACGTACTGTAGTATTATGGTTACAGTATTTACCGTAAGTATTAAGGTAGTTTCACAAGTGTTTTCAAGAACAGATTCTGAAATAGAAGCAACATTTCCATTCTTATATATAAACTGAATTAATACCAAATCCATTCATTGTCATTCAATTTGATATGTATGAATGACAATTTTACCTTCATTCCTATAATGCTCGTTTTTACTGGCTGCAGCTGTGGAATTAAATTAAATTAAAAAAATAAATTGAAACTAAATTTTATCAAATTTAATTTAAATATTTAATATACCACATGGTACATGCTGTAGAATTAAATTATATTAAAAATAGACTTATTTAAAATTTTAAATAAAATGTTTAAATTAAAAACTAAATTTTATTAAATTAAATAGAGTTATTTAATACACCTCATGGTACATACCATGATACCTAAGTGCTCAATGATGCAATAATTGCCCCTTCTAAAGTTCTAAACAACAAACATTTCTAAAAGACAAAAGACATTCAAAAACTCGCGATGGGAGACAAAATCATTCAGAATTTGAAGTGAAATTATCAAGGCAATATTGACATAATAGGGCAAAAATATAAAAAAATTCAAATGTAGACATGTATCAATAGGCATTTAAATTTTTTAACAACTTTCCTTCATTGAATCTCAGTGAGGAATGTGAAATTGTGAATCAAATCTATTTATTGTGAAATCAAACTTAACATTACCATAAAAAAGAAAGTGTGGGTGTGGGACACTGTCTCGAGTGTCTCCTCTTTTATTTACCTACATCACAGCAGTTAAAAAACTAAAAGGGGTCTAATTTATCCCATCCCGGGAGTCTAAGTTAGGTACCCCCTTTTACGGTACCCCTGTTTACAGTCAATTTTACTGCTCTCTTAGTACTAAGTAGGCTAAAGTAGCCTTTGCTTAATTTTTACAATAAAATGAGAAAACAACTTGTCAACAATGATTAACCAAAATAGTTAATAAAATGATAAGATTTTACCTGAAATCTAAAACTTTTGGAAAATTATGTCCAATTTTGCTGGTAGGCAAAATTATCAGTGTTCTAGGTAGGCTAGGTACAGTCTTCAAAAGTTCACAATTTATTTAACATGTTTTGTAAAGCCCTAGCTCAATTTTCTTGGATAAAATTGGAAAAAAAATATCTCAGTTTGGCTGGCAAATTCCTAAGATCACCAGTGAAACAATATTTTTTCTATTTATTATTAGTGGAAATTTTACACCTATTGCCTAATAATAGCTGATGTTTCATATTACGATTTAGTAAGATTCACCAAAATCTTCAGTATGTACATGTATCTGAGGCTCTGATCATGAAGAATAGTGAATTACTGAGTGGTATGGGTTGTTCGTTCGCGTTTATCTATTGCACGGACCTTGAACACATCCACACGGACCACACGGACCATACCTTCCACACCACAAGGAAGAAATGTACGACGTTGCGAATTGCGATGCGAGGCTATTTTCCCGGGCACCGAGAATTTACCTGATTCCAATAAATTTACCCTTTAATTATTACTCATTTAATTGATAAAAAGCTTTGTAGTTTGATGGATAATTATTGAATTGGATTTTAAAAATGTAAATGATGATGCTACGTGCTTTTGACTAAATTTTTATTTTATTTCATCTGTTTTGATTAAAATAATCGGGATTTATGGGAGCTCTGTAAAAAGCTTTTTTACCCCAGACCGTAGCAAAGTCGTTTCTTAATCGTCAAGATTAAAACAACAGTAACAAAGATAGGATAATTTAGAGATAATTGCTCAATCAATGATAAATAATTAATAAAGTTGCTATACAATTGAAGTAATAAATTCAATCAGACCTTTAAAAATTTCTAATTCGAGATCGAGCACTTAAAATGACGCAAACACGAACAAAAACGATGACCCAAAGGCACCAGCATACTTCACTGTAGCCACTGATTTACATGCCATCTGCCATCGGCAATGTACTTACTTGGTTACTTGGTTAAGATAAGGCGCGTTACCGACTGAAGTATTTGCGCCCCCATTCAGCAGTCTTCGGGGAGCATTAAATGTTGTCAAGCATGTTGATGTCCTGGAGGTACTTGATAACTATGTCAGCAGGAAATTCAGGGGCTGTGAGTGAGGACAGGCTGAAGGAGACTCTGAGGCGGATGCAAGCAGCTTTCAGTTGTTTGCGATGAGGAGACAGTACAGAGCAGCTAATAAAGAGGTGATCAAGAGTGAGCCGGCATTGACATGAGGAGCACTGGTATGGGGTTGAGCTTGTGAAGTGATGGCCATGCGTCAGTAGGCAAACTCCCAGTCGAATCCGTGTGATGGCAACTTGGTGTGGACGAGGAAGGGAGTGTTGGGCTAATGGGCCCAGTATTTGCTTGAAAGATGTGAGTTCTTGCGGTTGTGCAGTCCATGCTCTTTGCCATTTAGTGTGAAACACTTGAGTGATGAGTTGTTTGGTGTCAGCGGAGCAGAGGGGCATCTGTGTGATCTGGGTGAGATCCTGTGAGGAGCGGGCCAGCCTGTCGGCAGCTTCGTTGCCTTTTATAGTCCAACATGGCCAGGGACCTACTGCAGGGAAAATTTGTTTGGAGTGAGAGTCATGACAAGACTCTGAATCCATGGCATCAGGTAGGGGCGGGCTGATCGAAGGCAGGCAATGCAGGCAAGGGAGTCTGTGAATATAACGAATTTGCCTGGTTTTTCAGCGGAAAATTGTATTGCCAAGTAGATAGCGTACAGCTCTGTTGAGAATACTGATGTAGCTGTTGGTAAGCGCGCGTTCGGGCTTTGATTTGAAATGAAGAGCTGTGGATTCCACATCCTGATTTATTGTCTTTTGTGGAGCCATCAGTGTAGATTTCGTGGTGGGTAGGGTATGTGTGATTCAGAAGGTCTTTGAAAGCTTGCTGCCATTGTTCAGGGGAGATTGTTTCTTTGCGATGCGCTACAAGTATTGCAAGGGTTTCAAGTGTGGCAGGGATGTAGCGCGCTTGCATTGGCACAGTTGGGACATCCTCTATTTTAAGTTGTAGGTCCCTGAAGCCCTGGAATGCTCGTCCTGCTGCTGGTAGCGGTCGAGTTAGGTGTTTGTGTTCTTGTTCATATAGCGCAAAGGAATGGTAGTTGAGTATCTTGGATCTTGCTGGGTGGCGGGGGATGGTGAGGATGCGGGAACAGTATCAGCAGAGTTTGCTGCATGTCGCCTCAGTTCTAAAGGCATCAGGTCTACCTCTGCCTCTAGTTTTGCAGTGGGCGTGCTGCGCAGTGACCCAAGTATGATTCGTGCGGTTCCGTATTGGATTCTGTTGAGCTTTAGCAGGTGCGTGGCTGCTGCTGGAGTTAGGAAGAAGCTGGCATAGTCGAGTTTGGACCGGATTGGGGCAATGTAGAGTCGCCGGAGTGTTGTGGCGACAGCTCCCCACCTTCTGGCAGCAACTACTCGTAGCAGGCGGAGGTCAGCTTGGCACCTAGAGGCAAGGCCCGCTATGTGGGGGCCCCAAGTAAGTTTTTGGTCGAACATGACTCCCAGGAAGCGAACGTGAGACACAAACTGCAGATTTGTGCCATTCCGTTATCTCAAACAGCGCGTCATTTTCAAACTCTACATGCTACGGCAGAACGTGGAAGAAGCAAAAGATGTCCGCAGAGAAGCAGATAGCATAATAATTAGCATTATTTCGTTCGTGTTAATTCCAATCGATGTAGCGACTAATAGTGTAAACTTAATAATCGATTTTTTTATTGTTTTGCTTGGATGAGTTTATGCATGTCTCTTCATTTATAACTTGGTATCGCTTCTATTATACTCGGTCAATAATTAAGTATTATAAACTATTTTTTACACACTTGTCATAAGAAACGTGCACGATTCTAATTTTTTCTGAGGAAAGACTCTACTGATTAATAATTATTGCCACTATCTGCATTCTCAAGTTTAAGGGATCAACTTTATTCACCAGCACACATCAAGAAGGATTAGGTACTTACTTGGTACCTGTCGGGCAAAAACGCGGCCTGTCTCACGGCCGTGCCTCAAGAATTCATCGTACATGGAATATCTTCCAAACTACTGAACCGATTTCAATGGAACTTGGTATATTGATTCCTGATCACCTAAAGGTGGTGTCTAGCCCGTGTGAATTTTCGCGATTTCACCCGCATTCTCGATTTATAAGGTAATACGGGCAAAAATACGCATCGTGCAAGGAATTTCTTCCAAACTGCTCAACCGATTTCGGTGAAACTTGATAAATAGATTCCTGACCACCTAATGGTGATGTCTAGCCCATGTGAATTTTCGCGATTTCGCTCGCGTTCTCGATTTATACGGTAATACGGGCAAAAATACGCATCGTACATGGAATTTCTTCCACACTACTAAACCGATTTCAATGGAACTTGATATATAGATTCCTAACCACCTAAAGGTCCGAGTATGAACGTCTTCAAGAACAGACTAGACGAAGCTATGCAGGAGCATATGTTCAGTCTTAAAATGCCTAGCAAATTACGAACCACTCTGCATATATTTCTCCATAGCTGTATATAGTCTGTTCTTGAATGCGTTCATACTCGTAGCCTCAACGATGTAATCAGGGAGGCTGTTCCTAAAGTCCAAGTGACTGGAAGCAAGAAGAAATGTTGCAGAGTCGATGAGGTGTAACGAGTTTTTTTAGTTGGTGTTTGAACACCGTGACCCCTGGACCCTGGTGTTTGATCTTGTTTCAAATTCTAGTAAACCCCAATGATAGACACAAAAATTTATTAAAAATATCTGTGCAAGAATAAATTATTATTTAGTAACAACAAAATAACGAAATGTTTCACGTTTTCATTGTTTATAATATGTTCAAAAATTACGATATTAAAATGTCAGGCGTTTCCCTTATTTGTCGATAAGGGGGGGGACCTGATCGAAGTCTACAAGATGGCTCACAGGTTCTATAAAATTGAACGTCTCGGACGAATTTGACATCACCGTCAGGCCATGATGAATACGTGTACCAAGTTTCATCGAGCTACGTTCAGTACTTTGGGAGATATTCGATGTACACTAAATCTGGAGCCCGGCCGCAAATTCGTCCGAGACGTCAAAATTGATGCCGAGAGCTGCCTTCCCCGCAGCTCAATGAAGTGAACAAGAGGACAAGAGTAGAACTCAACTCGTCTTCCGCCTGGGCATCGGGAGACAATACGTCGGCCTGAAGATGGTGAACACGTAGAACCGCTTCCAGGAGATGTTAGAACCGCCAAAAATTCATCACTCGCACTAAGAAGAATGAGAGTAGTAGTAGAAGATTTACTAGCGCTTCAGATAGCTATCTATTTAGCGCCGGAGGTGAGATCTTCAGTTACGTCAAAGATGTTTGGTCTCTTCCGTCTTCAAGGCTTATAGCCTGGTCCATTTTAGGCGCAGGGGCTGGGCGGTAGATTCCCTGCTCATGGAGCGAGGGTCCGCCCCGACTTCATGTATCAACTCCAGCACAAGTTTAGTGAGGCCTGGTCTAGGTGATGGGAAGGTGCAATTATAGTCTCGCGAACGGCGGTGGTGCAAGTGCATATGACCGACAGGCGGTGACGTTACGGGGTCATGCTAAATCTCTGGCAGCAGGTTGCATTCCATCAGGTATCGTCTAAGATTATCGGTTTCGAAGTTACTTCGCCGGTCCTCTCGCAGCATTCTAGTGAGCATCTCGTCATGATCAAGGGCGGATGTGTTGGGGTAGCAATTTTGTCGGATGTCGTTGTGGCTAGGGCACTCAACCAAGACATGCAGAACTGTCAGGGGCACCAGGCAGTCGTCACAATATGGTATAGGGCGTCGCTCAATCAAGTAGCCGTGAGTGAGGCGCGTATGGCCAATCCTCAGTCTACACAGAGCTATCTCCATTTGTCGAGATCTCTGGTACGATGAGCTCCATGTTGTTACACTGTCCTTGATTGTTCTCAGTTTATTGTTTCTCGTGTTCAGCCACAGCTCGCGCCATATGTGGTGAACGCTGGTCCTGATGCGGGGGTAGTGGTCGTGACATATGGGACGTCCTCCCTATAAATGGCCGCGTCCGACGAGGCAGCGCCCACCGCCGCCTCATCCGCCCTGTCGTTTCCCCGCACCCCCACTTGTCCCGGGACCCAGCAGATGCTTGTCGTTTTTCCCGCCTCCACCAGGCGCAAAAGCCAGGCCAGGATTTCCAAGATGATAGGATGTTTGCTGTTGTAGGTTCTCAGGGCCTGCACTACGCTTTTGGAGTCTATAAATATTGTAAAGTTACGTTCGGGGTGGTCATCTATAAGGGCCCGGGCACAGAGGACGCCAGACAATTCCGCCGTATAAATTGAGGCGTTGGGGCTCAGTCGTCTTGATATTATTGTGTCGGTCGTAGCCGCACACCCCACTGCGTCGTCCGACATTGAGCCGTCAGTGTATATATGGGTCGAGTTTGTATGCTTTGTAGTTGCGTGGTCAAGGAAAAGGTTTTTCATCGCAGTTGCCTGCAACTCGGATTTTAGTGGGAGATTTTGATCCGGGCAGAAGGTGCTGATGGGGATTCGCCACGTGGGAATGTCCTCGAACGTGACGGGCATAACCATATTGTGTGTTCATTTCTCCCAACCAAATTCGTCCTGCCGATATCTATGTTTCTGTCCGTGCATTGGTAAACAATTCAGGTCAACTAGCCAGGCCATTCAGTTCTCTGATAGGAGTTAAATAATTTAATGTGGAGTGGTAAAAGAAAACCCCCACAAACGCGCGTTCGGGCTTTGATTTGAAATGAAGAGCTGTGGATTCCACATCCTGATTTATTGTCTTTTGTGGAGCCATCAGTGTAGATTTCGTGGTGGGTAGGGTATGTGTGATTCAGAAGGTCTTTGAAAGCTTGCTGCCATTGTTCAGGGGAGATTGTTTCTTTGCGATGCGCTACAAGTATTGCAAGGGTTTCAAGTGTGGCAGGGATGTAGCGCGCTTGCATTGGCACAGTTGGGACATCCTCTATTTTAAGTTGTAGGTCCCTGAAGCCCTGGAATGCTCGTCCTGCTGCTGGTAGCGGTCGAGTTAGGTGTTTGTGTTCTTGTTCATATAGCGCAAAGGAATGGTAGTTGAGTATCTTGGATCTTGCTGGGTGGCGGGGGATGGTGAGGATGCGGGAACAGTATCAGCAGAGTTTGCTGCATGTCGCCTCAGTTCTAAAGGCATCAGGTCTGCCTCTAGTTTTGCAGTGGGTGTGCAGCGCAGTGACCCAAGTATGATTCGTGCGGTTTCGTATTGGATTCTGTTGAGCTTTAGCAGGTGCGTGGCTGCTGCTGGAGTTAGGAGGAAGCTGGCATAGTCGAGTTTGGACCGGATTAGGGCAATGTAGAGCCGCCGGAGTGTTGTGGCGTCAGCTCCCCACCTTCTGGCAGCAACTACTCGTAGCAGGCGGAGGTCAGCTTGGCACCTAGAGGCAAGGCCCGCTATATGTGGGGGCCCCAAGTAAGTTTTTGGTCGAACATGACTCCCAGGAAGCGAACTTGAGACACAAACTGCAGATTTGTGCCATTCCGTTATCTCAAACAGCGCGTCATTTTCAAACTCTACATGCTACGGCAGAACGTGGAAGAAGCAAAAGATGTCCGCAGAGAAGCAGGTAGCATAATAATTAGCATTATTTCGTTCGTGTTAATTCCAATCGATGAAGCGACTAATATTGTTAACTTAATAATCGATTTTTTTATTGTTTTGCATGGATGAGTTTATGCATGTCTCTTCATTTATAACTTGGTATCGCCTCTATTATACTCGGTCAATAATTAAGTATTATAAACTATTTTTTACACACTTGTCATAAGAAACGTGCACGATTCTAATTTTTTCTGAGGAAAGACTCTACTGATTAATAATTATTGCCACTATCTGCATTCTCAAGTTTAAGGTATCAACTTTATTCACCAGCACACATTAATTAAGAAGGATTAGGTACTTACTTGGTACCCGTTGGGCAAAAACGCGGCCTGTCTCACGGCTGTGCCACAAGAATTCATCCTACATGGAATATCTTCCCCACTACTGAACCGATTTCGGTGAAACTTGATATATAGATTCCTGACCACCTAAAGGTGATGTCTAGCCCGTATAAATTTTCGCGATTTCGCCCGCGTTCTCGATTTATACGGTAATACGAGCAAAAATACGCATCGTACATGGAATTTCTTCCCCACTACTGAACCGATTTCAATGGAACTTGATATATAGATTCCTGCCCACCTAAAGGTGATGTCTAGCCCGTGTGAATTTTCGCAATTTCGCCCGCGTTCTCGATTTATTTGGTAATACGGGCAAAAATACGCATCGTACATGGAATTTCTTCCACACTACTAAACCGATTTCAATGGAACTTGATATATAGATTCCTAACCACCTAAAGGTCCGAGTATGAACGCCTTCAAGAACAGACTAGACGAAGCTATGCAGGAGCATATGTTCAGTCAATGCCTAGCAAATTACGGACCACTCTGCATATATTTCTCCATAGCTGTATATAGTCTGTTCTTGAATGCGTTCATACTCGTAGCCTCAACGATGTAATCAGGGAGGCTGTTCCAAAAGTTCAAGTGACTGGAAGCAAGAAGAAATGTTGCCGATTCGATGAGGTGTAACGAGTTTTTTTTAGTTGGTGTTTGAACACCGTGACCCCTGGACCCTGGTGCTTGATCTTGTTTCAAATTCTAGTAAACCTCAATGATAGACACAAAAATTTATTAAAAATATCTGTGCAAGAATAAATTATTATTTAGCAACAACAAAATAACGGAAATGTGTCACGTTTTCATTGTTAATAATATGTTCAAAAATTACGATATTAAAATGTCAGGTGTTTCCCTTATTTTGTTGATAATGGGGGGGACCTGATCGAAGTCTACAAGATGGCTCACAGGTTCTATAAAATTGAACGTCTCGGACGAATTTGACATCACCGTCAGGCCATAATGAATACGTGTACCAAGTTTCATCGAGCTACGTTCAGTACTTTCGGAGATATTCGATGTACACTAAATCTGGAGCCCGGCCGCAAATTCGTCCGAGACGTCAAAATTGATGCCGAGAGCTGCCTTCCCCGCAGCTCATTGAAGCGAACAAGAGGACAAGAGTAGAACTCAAGTCGTCTTCCGCCTGGGCATCAGGAGACAATACGGCGGCCTGAAGATGGTGGACACGTAGAACCGCTTCCAGGAGAGATGTTAGAACCACTTAAATTCATCTTACTAAGATGAATGAGACCTTGTTCAAGTAGTATAATCGTGCGAGTCATTTTGACCCAGTATTCTCATAAGGACGTATTGGTGCTATGTGCAGGAAATGCGTCAGTATTTGGAAAATATTAACCACTAATATTTTGAGTGCACCTTCATATGCAGGCTGGCTGGACGCTAAGTTGCCCAGAAATGTTCAACTGAGTCTCCAATCAATAAAATCATTCTCAGTAGCAGGAGTCCCAGAGTTGGTACCTGTCGGGCAAAAACGCGGCCTGTCTCACGGCCGTGCCTCAAGAATTCATCGTACATGGAATTTCTTCCAAACTACTGAACCGATTTCACGGGAACACCCAGTACGAAGAATCTCAACAGATGAAAACCAAACACGATGAGCAACCAACAAAACATGAATATTTGTCAGATAAGTGAATACTTTCTGCCTGATAAATGACAAAAAATAACAGGCTAACCATTGTCTGGTTTTCACAGAAATTAAATCGCCGATCAGTAAATGACTTTCTTCGTTACCGTTATATACTTGGGCATCAGGCTTCAAACAAGCATATATACTTTGATCAATTATTATTCAGATGCTGTATATCTAAATTTCAATACTTTTCGCTTGGTTCTCCACGTCAGCTATAACAAATCCATAGGTAACAGATCACGCGCTGCCATAAAGTACTTTAGTAAAGTAGCAGCAATCCATATGTACACGTAATATATCGATCAGAGAGAGACGTCCGACGAGGATGGGAGCTCTGAGTCAACAACCCTAATGCATTTAATAGCAACTAGTTGCTATTAAGCTCAGGTCCGTACTACTGTTGCTACCCTAGTGTCGGGATCCCGCTACTGTCGTAACAAATCCCTTACATACGTAAAATAATGCATTAATATATTATTTTCACCTTCAACTAATCTTCTATTTATCAATATGAAGACTGGCCTGGCGTTCGACGAAGGTCTTGAATGAAAAAAGTACATCTTTTGTTTATATTTATTTTCCCAAAAATAATATGGCTCTGCCCTAACCCATGTTAGACGAACGCTGCCCCGTCCCCTGTGATCACCTAATGCACCATGTGCTACCTTGCAGAGATATCAAACCCGTAGGACACTGTGACAGAAACACCCAGACATCCTAAAGTGTTCTGTCAGCCCATCTAAATAGTTTAGACAAGTTACTGCCTGGTAACAATATTCTAGATGTTAAAAAACTGCACTTCGTTCTCATACATTTCTGAAATTACTGTTGCCCAATATCAATCGATAATATTACAGTTAAAGAAAGTTAAAGCGCTCACATGAAGTACCTACACAACGGTTTTTACCATAATTGCAACTTGCGCTCAAGCGTTCATGCTCACCATAGGAATAGCCAATTAAAACATACAGTGGCTTTTTGCAAGCCTGCATGAGCACCAGATTTAGGAATAGGATTCATTTGATAAACTCAAATTCAAACTCGGCCTTTGTGATTGTGATGATATCAAGCGGGTAATCAGACAGGTATAATGGAGGTCAAAGTTTAGGGCTGCTCCTGCATACAAATATTTGGAAAGAAAATGTTCGGTCTGCACCTGCATGCAAAATAATTAGGGAGAAAGGGCCCAGGCTAGATCTGCATGCAAAATAATTAGAGAGAGATAGATGCTAGGGCCGAACCTGCATGCAAAATAATTGGAGAGAAACGGCCCAGGCTATATCTGCATGTAAAATAATCGGGAAAGATAGATGCTAGGGCTGCATCTGCATGCAAAATAATTAGGGAGAAAGGGCCGGTGGCCGAGGCCATATCTGCTTGCAAAATAATCGGGAGAGAAAGGGCCCAGGCTATATATGCATGCAAAATAATCGGGTGAGAAAGGGCTGGGGCTGCACCTGCATGCAAAACACGTGGCCGGGCATTATACAGAATATAAATAAAAGAACACGAGTAAGATTCCACAGGGGAAAAACGGTAGCAATGCTTGATAATATCAAGAACAAACGAACAAATTTCATACAAAATTAGGGGAGAACCCTATTTATCCACTCTCTCCGAGGGCGAAAAATTCTAAAGTCAAATCCCCAAGGGCGTAATCATGGAGGGAAAGTCTTTATAATAGATTTATAATTTTGCAGGAAACTAAACAGCATCAGGCTTAAAAATAAGAAAAGTAAAATTCAAAACAAGGAAGGACGCGTTAGAAACACTTGAAGTGGGGACATAATTCAGCTTCGCATCGACTAAAGCGTTATAAATTCTTCTTGTACTGTGATAATACTTCGATGCAAAATTATGTCGTTTATCCTTATTTTTCCTGCAATCAATATCTTGTACCTTGTAAGGTTCGAAGTTAGCATCATATAAGGGCTCATTGAATAACTGAGGATTATAGCAGACGGTTTTTAACACACGCAACAGATGTGAGCGTTACTTGGACAGTCCACATGACTTTGGATTTACAATAGCGATTTAAAAATACCAACTTCAGGAATATAATCAACCCATGCATTTAATCACGAAGAAAGAAGAATAATAAAGTGTGAATGTTCATCACATTCATCGTCATCATTAAACATTTTAAGAGGCCCAGATGAATTATTAAGAGCGACCCATGGTTTCACGAGTCAGCTCAACAATGAACATATAAAATCAGCGGCACGAAGGAAAATTTCGGGCAAATGCAATTACGGCAACACAGTTTAGCCCACAAGAAATTACTGTAACATATGATCTTCAAAAACAAACACTGAAGGTAAGTGACTGGTTTTGACGCTAAAAACTCGCGAATAAATACGATATTGAAAAAACAACGGAGTGGCATTGATTCAAATTAAAAAGAACGTTCGGCAAAATTTTGTACAAAAAGGCAGAAAATGTCCCAATTTCCGAAAGGTTTACAGGATTTGGGGGCCTAGAGGAAATATCCAGCCTTAGGCTTTTTACAAGGTAGGCCTCGGCTCTCCTGAGGCGCAGCTTCAAAGATGGTGAACTCCCTGGTCAGATTCTCGTCCAGCTCCAAGATGGCAGCTATGTTACCACACCTGAAATTATTCAAGGAATGAACGACGTTCGTCTGTAATATTCACGAAAGGAAATATCATAGCGAAAGTAATAATAAATAAGTATCATTGTTACTAAATGTCATCTGCATAAATGCCTATTATATATGCACAACAATGAGACGACATATACGTAAGCGAGGTTCTGTAATATAATATTGGTATCATAAGCATAAGAAGAGCTGATACAATGAATGCAGAACAGCGCTCCGGACGCCACGAACAACGTGGCGATGTAATTGGCCGTGCTCCGGCCAATAATCCTATACATTAAAGCAGGGGTTTCCAAACTACTACGGCCCGCGGGCCGGTTCCGTCCAGCCGAGGATATCTAATAGTTCAACATTATGTGTACAAAAATCGAGCGCGGTGTTTATTTCTGGTTACGCATCAACTAAAAACAGTAAATGGGCGTGACCGGCCCGCGAAAGTTTTAGAAAGCTTGCTCATGGCCCTCGGTGAAAAAAGTTTGGAGGCCTCTGTATTAAAGGGTACATTACGTCTCTTTGCCGAGTAGATTCATGCGCTGATTTGTGTCATTACGGCCCTGAAGTGTTGTTAAATATTACCCTTTACTATATAAATAATTGAAGTGTCCCACTGTACCCTACTTTGTCTTAACCATAACTATAGCTGAGGCAGCCCACGAGATGTGATGTGGTGCAAATACCACTTGTACCACTCAATGGCCACGTACCTGTAGCAGTAGTTAGGGGCGGACCACACGGTGAGGTGCAAGTACCACTAGTACCCCTCAATGGCCACGTACCTGTAGCAGTAGTTGGGAGCAGACCACACGGTGAGGTGCAAGTACCACTTGTACCCTCACAGGCCACGTACCTGTAGCAGTAGTTGGGAGCGGACCACACGGTGAGGACAGTGTGGTTGAAGTGCCACTTGTACCCCTCCATGACAAGCTGATGAGCACGACAGATCATGTCAAGTCCATTGGTCTCGTTGAACTGAGCGACTACATCGCTGCCAAACAGGTAGCCGGCGCCACGAGGAGACACGCCCCAGCCTTGAGCATCTGCCCATGTATCACAACAGTCAATTTGATGCAAAACCGAATAAAGTTTATGAGAATATCATGCAAGGGCAAGTCAATACACGAGTAGGTAATTAATAATTAAACCCCGACATTAACAAAGCTGCCAATGGGTAAAATGAGGGTGTACAAATTTAAACATGAATTTCCTCTAGGTAAATAGTCGGGAAGTAAGCTCATTCAAGTGAAAATATAATAACAATCAAATGTACAAGCTAAGTATTAGACTCGTTTGTACTAGAGCAAATGTAATTTTTCCATACCTGTGGATACTTCTCTGAAACACAGATTTAGAAATAAATCAATATGAACTAACCACAATTCTAAACGCCACTGAAGCAATCTAGAGGTTGTTGGTTCTGTTAAATATGAAATATCCTCAAAAATTCGCCAAAAATGAGCCGTATCAAACGCTAGAATTAGAAACAATGAGTAGGAGGGTTGTGTTAACATGGGAGTTGAGCATAGGAGGATTGTGTTAACATGAGAGTTGAGCATAGTAGGATAGTGAGTAACATGAGAGTTAAGCACAAAGAACATCTAGGATGTCTCACCCTCAGGATCAGACCAGAGCAAGTCGCACATGGGGCCGTCGTGGGGCACCTCGAGCTTGCGGTCAATCGTGCGAATCTGATCCAGCGACTGGATGCTTGGCGAGAGCCCTCCGTGTACGCAGAATATCTGGAAATACAGAGTAAGACACGAATTATTGGCATTCTAAACAAGGCTTCAAGACAGACAGAATATCTGGAGAAACAGAGTAAGAAACGAATTATTGGCATTCTAAACAAGGATTCAAGAGACACAGAATATCTGGAGAAGCTGAGTAAGACACGAATTATTGGCATTCTAAACAAGGATTTAAGAGACACAGAATATCTGGAGAAGCAGAGTAAGACACGAATTATTGGCATTCTAAACAAGGATTGAAGACACACAGAAAATCAGGAAATGCAGAGTAAGACATGAATTATTGGCATTCCAAACAAGGATTGAAAATCATACTTCCCATTTAGCAGTAAATGAATGCACGATTATTCTAAATATGGTCGAAAATCAGTCAATTCCAATAATAGAAGTACAACATATACTCAAGTAGTGGTAATGGTAGTGGCGTTTGAAGCATTTCTGAAAGACATAATCCTTGTTACGCCGAACTTACGATCTTTAGCTACGCCAAACCATCAAATCTCCACGATAATTTGCAGTCATCTAGCTCACAGGCTGGTCGTCCTCTGATTTCTTGATTAAAGTTAGTGCCTCAAGAGTCTACCAGTCTTTTCAGGATACATCGCACTGACGTGGTTTCCTGTTGTTACACCTCTCACAGTCTTGGTTAAGTGGGAAATGATCACTACCAAAGATATCGTCAATGCTCTCCTACTACGCTTCATCTACAATGTCATGAGTAATGAGGCTCAGATAAATAAATCAATGACAGATATTTTGTCCTTCAGTGCATGCAGATGAGTGGCTCCATATGTGCTCAAAAGGCTTATCAAGGAATTTGTCAGTAATTGTTTGATGGTTCTTTTGCATTAGTCATATGCAAAACTATCACAAACCGCGTGTTTACCGTTGAAATCTGTTAGCCAGGTCTGTCCTCGCAAGTTTGTTTCTGCTGTGACTTTGTTGGGTTTGAACTTGCAATTTACCCAACATAGTGAGACCGTAACTTGCATGTGATACCGTAAAACGAGAGACTTGGACCATTTTGACAATTTAAGAAAAAAAACTTATACACAAAAACTTCTGTCACCGGACGTGTGCCGCTACCTTTAATCTTGTCAGGATAATCGAAGCTCCACGGCCAAACGCCGGCAACTATCTTGTAAAAAGTACACTTTATTGCACTGGGATGTTCATTCATTAAAACTTCGGTTACACGAGTAAAACTTGCCTTTTATTCCAGTAAAGAAAACTTAAAAGCAACACGTTAAATAAAATAGTACAACAAGCACGATGGACATTACACTGCTAGATGGAGCATATAGAGCACAGCCACAGTGTCTAGCGCTAGGGCACAAGATCGCTAGTGAAGCAACGGAGCGAGGTGAGTTCAGGGTAGAACCTCACTATAGGGCTGGCGGGACACAACTAACTGCCTGACGCACAGCCGCTCAGACCTGACCTAGTACTACAGCGTTCCGACTGCTATAGGTCTGACTCGCATGTCTCTAGCGCAGCTTCGCCAGACGTAATAAAAATAATTTTGCCAGAATGAACAAAAATGCATATGAGAACAAACGATAGCATCAATAGAATAATGAATATTAGTGAACGATATTCATCGTTCACACTTCTTGCCTTAGAAAATTGTGTTGATAGCTCTTGAAGCACCATGAGATTACCTACATATACAATAAAGAGATATGTTTCATACATTTGCTATGTGAATATTTGTATCACAAAAAAGTAAGTGCTAGAAATGGTCCCTTTATTTTACAGTATGTCAGCTGGAGGTCAGGAGCTGCAGTGTATCAGTTTCCGAGTAAATGAGTGCCTTTTGTTTATGCACAGTTTATCATGACATATTCATTTCTACAGCTTGTTATGTAGAGTTTGCTGTGTCTTTCTTTTTGGTCTGGGTAGACCCAGGGCTTTTATTAATCAGTCGTTGCAGTGTATGGTCTCATTTTCATTTTGAGGTTCAGAATTAGATTTTTTAGGGCCGGGATGCTTTGAAGGTAATTCAGTAAGTAACATGTGGGCTCTATACAATTCACTCAGCCATTCCGTAGCTTATGCATTCTTTTGTTTGAGTATTATTTCTTCCTTTTCATTGTAGCATGAACAAACGTAGAGCAGTTGCAGTGCAAGGTACTTAATGATGTTCTTGGCGTAGACACTAGTGGCAGCTGACTGGAGTCAACTACACCCAAGTAAGTCAGCATTCAATTACATAAATACTTACTTTGCCATAAATAATGGCATTGAGGGCGAGATAGTCAAATCACAAATGCCATTAGCATAGGTTCATCAACTTACTTTGCCATCAATAATGGCGGAGAGGCTGAGATAGTCGAAGATCTCCGTGCAGTAGCGCCACACTGTGCTGGAGCCATACTTGCGCAGGCACTCATCATAAAAACCATAAACTTGCGTAATTTGACGAGACTCATGATTGCCTCGAATAAGGGTGATACGATCAGGATACCTGACCTGAAATATGAAACAACAATTAGAGTGAAATTTTGAGTGAGCAACACATGATATTGTTTCTCACAAAAATTTATTCTAAAAATTTTTAAAGACAAGAAAAGAACGGCAATTTTTATCAAGAAAAAAAAAATTATGATCAAGTGATTCTAAACACATCGACAGTGTTTTCCAAAGTTGCATATGGACAAAATGTATTCTTATTCTTCTTAAATTCTTAATGCATTTATTATGAAAATTGTAGATCCTGTCTAGACTACTTACTCATATAAACCACAATGCACAAAAATTTATATACTTATGTACAAACTTCATAAATACAATAATCAAATGAAGCATTCAAGTAGGGTTTATAGAACATAGAAGTTCCAGGGGAATAAGAAATACTCACCTTTAGAGCAAGTAGCAACAAGAATGTTTCAACACTGTAGAAGCCTCTGTCAACAAAATCCCCCATAAAAAGATAATTTGTGTACGGGACATCTCCTCCCACCTTGAAGAGCTCTTTCAAGTCATAAAATTGCCCATGAATATCACCGCAGACCTGCAAAAAAAAATGATTAAATTAGAGAAAAACTTTCATAATAATATGTTAATAATAAAGCAGAATTAGTTGGAAATTTCACGAAATGTAAGAAAACTATAACACAAGCAAAAAAAGAAGCAATAAAAAGCTGCAAGAAATTTTCCTTGGGAATTGAAAAAAAAAAACAGGAATATGGTAGGTACATATATGTAACCATCTGCCTCGTAAGATATTAAAGAATAATTTTAGAATAAGAAAGAAGATTAATTCTTTAATTATTCTTCATTAAAGAATAATTTGCAAGTTAATTTGCTTACTCAAGTGGAAACACTTATAGGTATATTACAAAATAGCTTTCTATTTGGGTAAATGAAGTGCATATGGTTTTGCAGGAGAATCAAAATAATTAGATTTAACTCAAAAAGATATCAATATTCTTAAAGAAGTTTGCTCATAACCACAACCAGTGTTGTAAGCATTAGTGATTAAGTATAATATTTTAAAGTCATACAGGATATATATATATAACTTGAATGATATACTATATGCTACTTAAAGGTTAAGTTCTTGCACCACCGGGTACCACTGCATAGCACTAATATACCTCATATTAGCTCAAAATATATTATTATTAACCTTATATCTTAATTTATTAATGATTATCACATGAAGTACATAGGTATTCTGAGTGAGCAGCAGAGAAGATGTTGGTGGCATGTGCTACTGTTGCAAATCTTTGCAAGATCATCGTGTGTTGGTACCGGACTGAAAAACTTTTGTGAAATAAAAACTAACAAAATATTAATACTGTATCTGAATTGAACTGAAAAATACACAGAATATTGACATACCCCCAGAAAGACACTTGCACACTAATAAAAGTGGACATATCAGAGTTTAAAACAACTGATATAGACTTTACAATCTACAGCAACTAAATTTTCAGATGATATATAAATGCAAAACATAAACAAACTGCAAAGAACTTGCAATAATTTCTCAATAGACATTTGGAAGGAATATTTACAAACACATTAAATTCAAAAGCACCCAAATGACCTAAATTATTATGCCAATGATAAAATCAAAATGTATATTCCAACAACATATAGGTATATATTAGCAACACTTCAATATTGAAGATTTCACATAATGGCTAACTTCAAATAGTGAAATCAAATACTCACTGTGACAGGACTGTCCACACGCTGCACATTGCTTTCTTCAACCAAAATTTCCCGAGCTTTAGCACACAAAGCTTTGACTTCATTCTCCTTAATTATCTCACACTTGCGTAGTTGCTCAATTTGTCGGTCTAAGTCGCTGTTGGCACAACCTATGCTGTTGCTGATGCTGCTGTTGCTTGCAGCGCCGTCTGCAACCACGCTACTGCTACCAGCAGCTGTTGTGGTGGGTGTACTGTTTGATTCACTCATTGCTTCAGTGCCCTGTAGAAAAATGTAAATTTTAATCATTTTTGCTACAATAAATAACTGAAATTTTTTAATATTAGTTATACAAAAACCAACCTAACATACATAAATATTGCCACATTTTGCAAATGATGCAAGTTTGTTAATAACATAAATTTTGGGTGCCATGCTGTGCATTAGGAAACTTATTTCTTGTTGAGAGCCAATTAGAATGAGATTGTCTACCGTCCCATTCAAATTGCATAGATAGGACAGGCAATTAACTCTTTAGGGGAGCATCTAGGTCCAAAGGTCAAAATTTTGGCTTTGCCAGTTTTTAGGCTCATCTTAAAGCTTACTTTCTGACGCATCAAACGGTATTAGAACCATCTCTGTACGTTGATTTATGCATTCGCAACAGATCCCGTAAGGGGGGAGGCATCCGGGCCCCTTCAGTAAAGTTAAGGCAGAAATTACCTGGCCGGGCACCATAAATGGGATCGTCTGATGTAAAGCGGCCAATTATGACATTTTCCAGTACTTATACTCATCTTAAAGCTTACTTTCTGCCGCATCAAACGGTACTAGAACCGTCTCCGTAAGTTGATTTATGTGTTCACGACAGATCCTGTAAGGGGGGGAAGGGGGTGGGGGGCCTTCAGTAATTCCAAAGGTGGAAATTATCTATAAAATGTGCTCTTCACTCAGCTACAGCTCAGTAACCTCACAGACAGCATGCGGAATGGTGTTCATTTAGTGGCTCCGTGCACCGAAGACTGACTTTGAAGTGAGTCGATGCTTACTTTTGGTATCTAGGCTACGTTACGTGCCCCACGGTACGAACACCACGCAATTGAGAAAAACTAAATCACGGAATTCGTCTGGAAAAATGACCGTCTGGCAACCCTGCTTAAAAAAGTACAAAAAATGAAATAATAGTACAAGGTGAAGCAATTGTAGTCAACGTGTTAAGACATTCACAGTCTTTCCCTGAAGTTGCCCATAGTTCTTCGTGTAACTTCCCTCGGAATGGCTGCCACTTCCTGCCTAATGGCATGTTTTAGTTCTTGCAGATTTCTGGGATGATGTTTGTACACTTCAGCCTTTAGGTAGCCCCACAGAAAGAAATCACAAGGTGATAGGTCAGGTGATCGTGGGGGCCAGGAAATGTCTCCTCTTAAAGAAGCAAGACGTTGAATGAACAACTCTCTTAACATTTCCATGGACCAGCGAGCAGTGTGAGTCTTTCTGTGGGGCTACCTAAAGGAAAGTGCACTAAGTGATGTAAAATGGCATCAAATAAGCTATTCACAAATAAAATTAATTGTTTTGTATGTGTCATATGATTTTTGCAAAAGCCTATTGAAATCAGGGAGGTTTTTTTGGCACACCCTGTATTTGCTGATTTCAAGTGGTAAATAAATTAATAGATGATTAAGTTAAGAGACAGTTTTAGACACATAAAAACTAATTCCAACACAGCTTGGAATTAGACACACACAGCTCGTCCCGAGCTGTGTGCAAAAATTAAAATTCTATCAATTAAAAGCTTAATAGCTCTTAATTAAAAAGCCTAATTAAGTAGTGTTCAATATTCAATAGTGTTCTAGTTCCAACCTGTGTAGTATTCCAATACAGCTCACACAGCGATCGGAATTCAAACACAAGAGGGTCGGAATTACGAATTAGTAGAGTTTAAAGCGTGGCCACAATTAGTCTCACAAAATGCCAAATTTAATCACACAGTGTCAGAATATATGGATTTGGTAGGTTTGCATTCTAAAGGCTTTTAAATAAATTTTGTGACATTTTATTGTTACTGGCGCGTAGTGCAATGTTTTGAGAGCAACGTAAAGCAAACAGAACTCAAGTTGCGCATATGGTGATGTCCTTAAACCTGAGGCTTAATGTGTCGGAATATTCTCATGCATGGTGCAATTCTATAGGTTATTCAAAAGAACCTGGTCTTATGTAATTTGAACCGATCGACACTTCTTTACGGACCAATCGGATCATGTAACAACACAACCTTATCCGGCAAAAGCTTTCTTGCTTCTGAAGAAAGGGGCGGTTTTCTGTGTCAGCTGACACTGGCCGTGGGCGGGCCTTATTTGAATTTGAACACATGCATCCATTTGAAATCCTATACCCATAGTCCCATAGTATATGAGTCAAAGAGCCTAAATTTTTAATCTCTATATAAAAAATGTACGTTTCTGCATCAATTATAATGCTGTTAACATTAACAAACTTTGAAGTATCTCTAATGCAAGAAATACTTGCTTTAACAATTTTATTTTCAATATAAGCGACTGGATGCAAAAATCAGTTTGCAAGAACCAACATAGCCCGGAACAACAGTAATTTTGATTGATGTTAATTTCTAAATTAAAATGTATTTAGCCAGTATTTCTTGCATCAGAGATACTTTCAAGTATCTAAACATTAACAGCATCAAAATCCACATAGAAACGTAAACTTTTAATAGGTTTTAGACTAAAATTTACGCTCCTATTCCAAAGAACTGAAAGCGATTTGAAATCAAAAATTCAAATGAATCAATGGCGCTTTCTGGCACCTTCTGTCACAGCTGTTTGCAGTTTCAGTGCATTTTTTTAGCATAAGTTGCCAATACGTATTTAATGTAGTCTTCCATTGTTACAAAACTTTCAAAATAACCTTGAATTATTGATTGCTAATTTCTTGCATTAGGTAAATGTTTATGATTCAAATTGGTCATAGAAGTTGTACCCATAGAAGTAAAATTACCCTTAGAAGCTTCACATATTACAGATGCCAGCGCTAGCAGCGGCAAAGAAATGAACTACTTTATTGTCTGTATCTTTACTAATAATATAATAATATTGTATTCTGTTTAGGTCCGGTCTCTTAAAGTGTTCCAGCAACATATTTTCCATTACTAATTTTTTAAATGTATTAACTTGTGTTGCAGTGAGATATTGAATTGTTCGAATTCTAAACAAAGGTGGCACGCCCGTATTCAGATGCCAGCGCTAGCAGCGGCCATCAAATGAACTACTTTATTGTTAGTATCTTCAGTAATAATATAATAATATCGTATTCTGTTTATGTCCGGTCTCTTAAAGTGTTCCATCAACACATTTTCCATTACTAATTATTTACATTTATTTTTGTTTGTGGTGCAGCAAAATATTGCATTTATTTTTTCACAGTCGATGTAGCTACCAGCCTACCACGTGTTCTTGTGTGTGACGTCACCGCTAGCCATATCCCATATGTAAACAAAGCGTATTCTGTTTATGTCCGGTCTCTTAAAGTGTTCCATCAACACATTTTCCATTACTAATTATTTACATTTATTTTTGTTTGTGGTGCAGCAAAAAGGCCCAAGGGCCAAGGGCATGAGGCCTTGCAAAGGGTTAAGACCGCCGCATGGCAGTGGACCGATAGGTACTCACAATAATTCCCTGCCACCATGTTCTCATGCAAGATAATGCTGTTATCTGGCAAGATACCTACTTAGCCTACTATACTTCTAAGACTCAAAAATGAACTTGAGGAAGGGCAACAAAAAAGTATTCTCCTTTGCTAGGTAATAGGTATTTGCCACTCATTTCGACAAAGCGAGCGGCTCTCGAATGATCGAATCTTTCTTTCTCAGAATAGTTTGTGTGCTTCACAATTTTGTAAAAAAGTATTTGGACATATGAAAGGCACTAAGCTTTAAGGAGTCTAAGAGCAAGCTTCTTATCTTTTACATTACTTGATTGAAATGAAATTGGGGCTTGTACTGCCTTGTAGGGAAGTTAGGGAACCAGAGTGGAAATCTAAGATTAGAGGTTCACTTAAAAAAAAGCGTTCCGCCTTGAAAAAAAAAACGTTCCAGGCAAGTGGCAACTAGAAACAGGTTTGCAGGTCGTCAGAAATCGGCCTCGGCATGAACGTTACGTCAGGCAACACAGAGAAAATCCCAATATTGTTAATTGTGCGCGTCACTCACGGATAAGCAAGAGGAATCTACTGGAAGACACGTTGTGCTCAGTAGAACACGTTGTGCTCAGTAGAAGTTACAAGGTCGCTACTGACACCAGTAGACCTTCATCACTCACAGACCACAGTCACCGATGCGCAAGGAAGATCTTGGTAAGGCTTCATAAGCTTTGCGCCCCACATGAACGTTTCCGAGGTCGCCGGTAGAGACGCGTCACTCTCCGGTGAGCAAAGGATATCTTGAGGAGGCCTCAGTGCCGCCTCACAACGTTGCAGCCGGTAAAGGATGTACTCTTGATTCTGAAAAAAGTTCCATTATATCTTGCCGATATACTTGAATGCAAAAGTCGCCTATATATGAGTTGATTAAGAGCACTTGATGTATTAGTTGTTCAGAGTTTGACCACTTGATTCAGAGCACACCAAATTATTTTCTTTTACGGTCATAATTAATTTACTCCTTAATTTTTTTCATTATTTCTGAAAATCATACCTGAACTGATTTGGAAGATATGCTAGCATCCGACTCCCAACCAGCTCAAATGAACGTGGATTCGATTGCATGCAATCTATGCCTTTGTATCATATTAGTTAAACTGCACATGAAGAAAAAACTTGTCAAAATTGATATTGTTCAATGAAAGATACTTACACTCTTGTTGATAAAGCTTGCATTTTATATAGAAAAATAAACGTGATCATTGAACATAAAAATTTTTGAATTCAAAGATCGTATCAAAACTTCGTATAATAATAAGTGGAAGTAAAGGGCTGACTATCAGAACATTAGGTAAATTAAAAAGCTAATTCTTTCATTTTATGCAATCCTCCTTAGCAAATACGGTAAACAATGCTAAACACGAATGCATATTACTTGAATTAAATAATGACTGCCGTTAGTGAGTAATGAATGGCAAGAAGAGTCTCGCCACTCTCCTTAGTCCTTACTCACTCAGAGTAAACTAACAGCTCATCGGCAAGAACTAAATAGGCTAGCTATGGCTTATAGTACTATTTACTCTTGACATAATGAATATAAAAAAACGTTTATTGCACCTATTCGTTACGTCAGCTTTCAAAATGAGGATAAACTCATCGGCAATCGGAGAAACTTATCGAAGAAGAGGCAATGCACATCATCACATGACACTTGACTGACAAGACAGACTACCGGTAGCGTACTTGGAAAATTTAGCATTCAAAACTTTCGATTCTGTGAACCTCGTAATTTATATATTATTAGAACTTTAGACGACTCATAATATATCATGTAAAATTTTCACTCAATAATAGTCTTGAAGTGTATGAATAAAACCTAAGAAGTATACAACTGAAGTCCGAGCTTCATCTGCATTGCAGTTAGCATATCCACCGGTTGCGTGAGAACTAAGTCAACTAACCAGGCTGAGCCAAAGCTTTTCCTGCAAGCTTCGTTGCACACGATTGATACTGCATGCAATGCATGTATAACATTTACGACCGTTATTAAACCATTCTGTTGAATATCAGTTACTAAAAATTTACAATATAGAAGAATTGAAATATTTCTTTTCTTCACGGAGTATATTGATATCATATTGTTGGTATCTCTGTCACCTGTCACCTTCTATGTTATTGTTTTGGTACAGATGGTACTCCTGAATCCTGATCGCAAGTAGTTTTCATGTCTCAATGCTGAAAACTATCATCAGTTTTTTATTTGTCAATGAATTCATAGGCAGTTTTTCATGTATTTGTGAGTGAATGTACAAAGTAACATGGTGCAATTCTATAGGTTATTCAAAAGAACCTGGTCTTATGTCATTTTGAACCGATCAACGCTTCTTTACGGACCGATCATAAAACACACCTTCACCGGCAAAAGCTTTCACACTTCTGAAGAGAGGTGAGCTGACAGCTACACTGGCCGTGGGTGGGCCTTATTTGAATTTGAATGCATGCATCGATTTGAAATCCTATACGCATAGTATACAAGTCATAGAGCCTAAATTTTTAGTATCTATGCAAAAAATGTACGTTTCTGCATGGATTATAAAGCTGTTAACATAACAAACTTTGAATTATCTCTGGTGCAAGAAATACTTGCTTAAATAATTTTATTTTCAATATAAGCGACTGGATGCAACAATCGGTTCGCAAGAACCAACATAGCCCTGAACAACAGTAATTTCGATTGATGTTAATTTCTAAATTAAAATGTATTTAGTCAGTATTTCTTGCATCAGAGATACTTTCAAGTATTTCAATGCTAACAGCATCAAAATCCACGCAGAAATGTAATTTTTTAATAGGTTTTACACTGAAATTTACGCTCCTAGTCCAAAGAACTGAGACTGATTTCAAATCAAAAATGACTAAATTGAATCCATCACACTTTTTGGCACCTTCTCTCACAGCTGATTGCAGTTGCAGTGCATTTTTTTAGCTTAAGTTGCCAATACGTATTTAATGTAGTTTTCTGTAGTTCCGTTGGTACAAAACTTACAAAACAACATTGAATTATTGATTGCTAATTTCTTGCATTAGGTTAATTTTTATGATTCAAATTAATCATAGAAGTTATATCTCCATAATTCCATGCTGAATTAATATTACTCATAGAAGGTTCACATACAGGCTACAGTGATACAGATGCCAGCGCTAGCAGCGGCAATGAAAGGAACTACTTTATTGTTAGTATCTTGACTAAAAATATAATATCGTATTCTATTTAGGTCCGGTCTCTTAAGGTGTTCCAGCAACATATTTTCCATTACTATTTATTTAAATGTATTAACTTGTGGCGCAGTAAGATATTAAATTGTTTGAATTCTAAACCAAGGTTATGCTTCCGCATCCAGATGCTAGCGCCAGCAGTGGCAACCAAAGGAACTATTTTATTGTTTAGTATATATATACTACATAACTATAATAATAACAATATATTATTCTGCTTAGGCACAGTCTCTCAAAATGTTGCAGAAACACATTTTACATTACTAATTATTTACATTTATTTGTTTGTGGTACAGTGAAATATTGCATTTTTTTTCACAGTCGATGTAGCTACTACGTGTTGTGTGTGACGTCACCGCTAGCCATATCAACAAAGCCACAGTAGTGAAGATGGGACCAGTTTTGCATTGAAATCAATGGTTATTTGTGAATAATATTTTCGATTGTGATATTATAACATATTTCTGATTGTGATATTATAACATATTTCTGATTGTGATATTATAACATATTTCTGATTGTGAATTAATTTTGATTGTGATATTGACACTTGACAGTAGTGTCAACATTTGAACATCAAAGTTCTAACATCATGAATTATGAGGTAAAAGTGTAAGGACTGAGCAGAGCTAGAAGTCTAGAATCATGGCTGTGGCTTAACCAATGTCATTGTCATTTTTTACGTCATTGATATCATTCTGGAACCAACGTAAGTAACTAAGGAATTTCCCAGTTCAAATATTTATTGATTTATGACTATATGGCTTAAAATCCAGAGGACAATTGGCCAACCAGTTAGCCTCGTGAAAACACATGAATATATTGGCAAAGGTAGGGCCGAGTGGAAGACCCATGCATCAAACATTTAAAAATTAGGTTTTATTTCAAGTATCCTGGATTACCTTTACCCTGCTGTCAGAGATAATTCAGGACGTTTTTATTTTGCATCTGGCACCTTACAAATAGTACCTATATGGATTTTTTTAAGATGTCATATGATGGCCCTCGCAAAGAGCTTTAAAATGAGCCAAAACTCGTTTATGAAATGTTTCATGGTAAGAAGTTATTAACAAAAAACATTTAAAACTGTCCCTTATTACCCTGTTTGACGGTACTGGTCACAGTTTCTATTGGTCACAATAGAAAGAATTATAAGAGGCTTACTTACCTTGATTCTTGGCATGGTCTATTCTCAAGTTTAAGGGTACCGTACCATACAATATTGCACTCAATGTATCTCATCCATATGATTTGTTATTCCATATGCTATGATAGGAGAATTGTGTTGTTACGAGTACCTACCATCATCTAGAATCCAATAATAAATAATCCTGTTACTAATTATACACCTACCAATTTTCAACTCAAATTAGAATCATGGTCCAATAATCTTTTTTATTTTCATTGAATCTCCTGAGTTTTCATATAACGAATGAATTGGGAATCATGTTATATCTAGAAATGTTTATATATTACAACACTTCTCTTTAACTTCACTTCTTGTTGTTTGTTTGTTTGTCTGTCTGCAGGCTACAAATCTTATAATCAATATTTAACACATTTCTAAATTGATCTGAAATTTTGCACACTTGTGTGAAGTCAGAGGCAATGCATGAATCAATTAACAGAATAAATTATGAAAAAAATTATTTACCTATTAAAAAATTTATATATTAAAAAATTGAAAAATTAATATTTTTAATATTCAAAAATTAAATGAGAAATTCATTGTACATCTCTAAGATAGGAGACACTGGATTCTTTGGAAGTGTTGTCTTTAAAAACTAATTTTTAAATGTACCTATATTATTTATATTATGTGCACTGAACAATGTTTCAATAGTTTATTCTTTTCAGATTTATGTTTAAATGCTCGTTACAAGCTTCTTCTTGTGATTTGGTAAACTAATAACAGTGTTAGAAAGCAAACTTTGTGATGAGTCAGCCTGCTACAAAGGTAAATTGAGATTCCATATTATTCTTTATTCATGAATCAAAGCTTTCTTGCTTTTAAAGTGGTAATTTTGTCAATCCTGATATGAATTTGTTAGTTTTTTTAAAGTGACAGTACTGGCATTTCCAATTAATATCCTGTTGCCCAACAAGTGAATAACGTTTATCAATGTCTTGTCTCATAAGCTCAATTAAGCTGTATTCAAATTAAAACATAAAGATAATCTATTTTCAAGTTGTTATCAATAGTACGTAGATTGTCACCAAATTATGTATTTTTTGTTCAGATGCAAGAATTTATCACGCAGGCCACTAAAAATTGCATATGGTAAAAATTATTCACAATTGTTTTGAAATATGGACAATTCCTTTGGAATTGATGAAATATTACAAAACTAAACCATTGATTTTTGACAGTTCATAATTGTCTCAAAAAATCTCATTTATTCTCTGGCTTTGCTGCTGTCACATTTACGGCATCTTAATATTCTGCTAGGATTTCATGGAATAACATTTGGCCCATGGTAATGAACCAGTTCATGATCTGGTGATGGTAGGAGTATTTATAGCCTCAAGGCTCTCATTCTGAACCATTTTGTAGCTATTCACCAGTGATAGTGATTTGACATGTAGAATAAAAATAAATCTTGCAACTGTGAAATCATCAGTTGCATTGTATTTTGGTTGCTGATAATGATCACATATTGCAGGCTGTTCCTGACGTCACCATTGTAGCTGGGCTTGGTCTGGCCAACTTTAGAGATGACACTCTTATCATGGAGGAGCCCAGTGCTGCCTCCACTGCTGGACATAAATGTACCAGGTTAGTTTAGTATACCTATATTAGCTCATTTATAAAATGTAACTACGGTATGTATTATTTTCATGTGGTTTATTATATTGTTTTATGTTTGCCTATGCTTGATCAGAATAATTGGTTTTTAATATATTCATGACTGTAAAGGTAATTTCATTTGCTACTTATCTTCTGAATAGAGTGCTTGTATGAAGATTCAACAAATCTATCTCATCCCCATCCTAAAACTTGCACCATTGAAACAAGATATGATGAAAAAGTTCAACATATAATCAAACAATGTGCATATCTGAGGATGAACCAGGTCCATCATGTTGCCTAGAGCAACTTTTAAGTGAATCTGTTTTTCTCGTAGGCAAGAGCAGTCCTAGAAACCTCCTGGCAACTATGCTTGCTTCTAGCACTATGTCAATCTCCTTGTAACTATCACCTGTTAATGTCCCACTCGTTTGCTTGTCCTTAAGAGCCTCTACAAGATGTCATCTTGGATCATTTTTTATCTCGTACCTGCTTCAGATATAATTAGCATGGCTAAATTTCTCAATGATATCTGAAGCAAAATATCATGATATCGTTGGCAAAAGTTGCTACCATCATTCCATCATTCCTATATTTTTTTGTTTACGTATACAATTTTTTTGACTGGTGAATAGAGCAGCCTTCATCTAATTACCTGATCATTTCTCATCCCTCGCACATTCTTCTTTTCATTACCGCTTTGGTTTTTCTTCCCGCTTACTTTGTTGATTTGTTAGGCTAGCTGCACTGCCCTCTCGTGTGCAGTGCAGCTAGCCTGAGTGTAGTGCATTGGCCGTGGGGATTGAAATATTCATATAAGAGGGATCAGAGGAGAGGGTATGAGTGTTTAATGGGATTGTGAAGTAAACTCTGGAGGATATGTTGGCGGAGCGTGAGCCAATTTGGTGAGAACAAGGATTATTATGGTGACGGTTCTATGAGGAGGCGAGAACAATGGAGTGGGGAATGAGATAAGAATTATAGTAGTAAGTGTGGCATGTAATTCTCAGCAATTTTGGGTGTGCATGAGAGTGCAAAAAGACCAGCGTGACCACAAACAGCGTCCTCTCCTTGTCATTTGACAGTACCTACCTTTCTTCCTCGAATTTGATACATTTCACTTTATTCGTGACGAATATCTTATAATTTTCTTACACTTTTTGATATACCGTATTCCACTTATTTCTGACAAAAATGTTCTAATTTTCTTACATTTTTATATATTCCATTTATTTGTGACGAAAATGTTCTAATTTTCTTTAATTTTCGTGTTATGCTCAGTAAGGCATTACAGCAATAACTCTGGCTCAGTCTGTGCATAGCTCCCTTCTGATCAGCCTATCTTTATCTCCGTTTATTCGCGTGACTGCTGGTGTTGTGTGTGCGGCTTCCTGTATTGTGTGACTTGTGTGAGTGCAACGTTCTGGCCGTGCAAGTGTTGTGCGTGTGTGGATTCCTGTGTTGTGTGACTTGTGTGAGTTCCGCGTTCTGGCAATGCAGGTTGGTCTTTCACCGTACTTTCCTTTACTACTCTTCATCTCTGGGGATTGTGGGTTTGATGAAAGAAAGAGTAACTACGTAGGTATTGTTTGCTTCACAATTCGATATTTTAAATTAAAAATTGTACCTAGTGATTATGAGGCCGAAATTTAATAAGAAAGTGATTTTACTAATGAAGATATAGATAAGTGAAATAACAAATATAAAGTATTAATTATTCTTATGCTTATCATGGACTGGCGTTCCTGAACTTAATGCTTGAAAATCAAGTAGGTAACTAAGGCTAAAGCGAGAGCCTTTACTGTGTTTTAGGACAATCACTTTATTTGTGACGAAAACGTTCTAATTTTCTTACACTTTTTGATACATGTCACTTTATTTGTGACTAAAACGTTCTAATTTTTTTTTATATTATCAGTCTGCTTATATCGCAAGTTCACAAGGAATATAAAAGAAAAGAAAACGCCAAGAAAATTCACCATATCGATCGATATTGAAAACGTTTCGGAGCCCAGCTCCATCATCTGTTCGACTAAACTAAAAATGAATAAAATAATTTTATAAGTCAAAATTCAAAGACAGACATAAAACCTAAACAAGACCTAACATTATATCGAAATAAACAGGACTCCGAACAGGATCTAGTCCTGTTTATTTCGATATAATGTTAGGTCTTGCTTAGGTTTTATATCTTTTTTTTTATTTTGACTTATAAAATGATTTAAGTCATTTTTTGTTTAGTCGAACTGATGATGGAGCTAGACTCCGAAACGTTTCCAATATCGATCGATATGGTGAATTTTCTTGGCGTTTTCTTTGCTTTTAAATTCCTCGTTCTAAAAATCATACACTTTTTGATACATTTCACTTCATTTGTGACGAAAACGTTCTAATTTTCTTACACTTTTCGATACATTTCGCAGAAATATAACATCAGGATAGTGATTAGACTGAAGAAGATATAGGTAGGTAAGTGAAATAAAAAAAATCAATGTATTAATTATTCTTATGCTTAGCACGGACTGGCGTTCCTCAATTTAATACTTGAAATTCAAGTAACTAAGGCTAAAGCGAGAGCCTTTACTGTGTTTTAGGACATAGGTAACATTAGGTGGGTGTGAAGGTAAATTTCACGAGGTGATCTCCAACGTAAAGCATTTGAACACAGATCAGGTATACATGCTCTGCAAAACGTTGTCATGCCTGGTCACATTGCTGGGGTACAGTGGTACCTACTTGTGGCTCATCAGTTTCAATCTTTTTAAGATGAGTTTATAACGGCTAAATAGTAGCCACATGCGTTCGTCTCTGTTAGGCTGTTCGATCAAACTCCCAATGTTAATTTTGCCCTGGTAACTCCCCTGTATGACAACGCTTCTGCTCTTGTTGTTTGATCCTTCATAGCTAACGCCTTTGGCTAGTTTGCTCGTTTTTAGCGCATTTTCTCATCTATGGAAAAAAAGACGCTATTGTGCTCGCCATGTCCGTCCGTCTGTCTGTCTGTCCGTCCGTGACTTCACGTTTTCGTCGACGAGAAAATGTGCTCTCTGTCACTCACTGCAGTGAGTACCGAGTTATATATTTTTTAATTCTATAGCGTGATAACGAGTAGCAGATGCTTAATGACTGACAGCAGAAAGGTACCCGTAACCCTCGAGCAAAAACCGGAGAGGACATTTTTGGAGGAGAAACTTGAATTTACAATAAACCGTAACTTTCTCGCTAAAATACTAAAAGATAGCCTCGATTTCCCCTACTTCTACACTAATTTCATTTCATACAGTGGGGGGAAATAAATATTCGTACACTTGAAAAATCGTATTTTATGTATGTAAGTACACAAACTGAACAGGAGAAGTGATTTATATTATGTATAGAGGCGCATTGTATTCAAAAATAGCATCAATAGAAATTGAATCTCAATGCAACAGCATTGAGATTTAATTTCTTTTGATAGTATTTTCGAATACTATGCGTCTCTATACATAATTTAAATCACTTTTCCTGTTAAGTTTGTGTACTTACATACATTAAAATACGATTTTTCAAGTGTACGAATATTGATTTCCCCCCCACTGTAGGTATATCTTATGGACGGGTTTGCCCTCTGGTGATTGTATAGAATTAAAAAGTCCGTAGAAATGTATTATGGCTGTTTTTTAGTTAGCGTGTATATATGCTCTTCTTTCAAGAACGAATGAAATTGAAGTCTGCCAATGAGCTACCTATAGCAGTGGTTCCCGAAGTGGGCGGTATCGCCTCCCTTGGGGGCGGTATCGCCTCCCTTGGGGGCGGTGAAGACGAAAGGGGGCGGTAGGGGGCGGCAGTCCGAAGTCGAAGACCGAAAGTTCGAACGTTTGTTTGACGATTTGTACACAACACGTGCAGCACATGACTCCCAGCGATGGGGTTTTCCACCCAGATCTGGATTTTTAGCACATTTTATCATTTATGAAAAAAATGTCCTATTGCGCTCGTCATGTCCGTCTGTCCGTGACTTCACGTTTTCATCGATTTTGAGAAAATGCGCTCTCTGTCACTCACTCCAGTAAGTACTGAGTTGTATTTTTTGAACTTCTCCTGCATGGGTTTACGTCTCGGACAAATTTACGGCCGGTCTCACGGCCAATTTCAAAATTCAATGATCAAGAAATATCTCCCAAAGTAATGAACGTAACTAGATGAAACTAGGTACACGTGTTCATTAGGACCTAATGGTGATGTTTAGCGCATAAATTTTTTTATGAATTTCGCCTTCATTGGCGAGTTATATGGCAATACTTGTATATGTGTCTGTGGGAGGAGGAGGGGGGGCGCTAGAAATTCATTGGGGAGCCAAAGAGGGCGCCAGCCTGAAAAAATTTGGGAACCACTGAGCTAAACGATGTTGAAATCCATTAATTTTTACAGACAAGATCTGATCGAGAGGAAGTGTGCTGAACATATGGCCAAATTCGAACTGAAGATTCAAGCCGGGGCCAAAGTCCAAGAGCGAGCTCACGTCCGCGGGTCTAATTTCCCCAGCAAAGAGGACATTCAAATCGGCGAAGACACAATATCCTTCAAATTACTCAATTCACAACATTCAACTGAAGAAAATGATTCTTTTGACCTAACGCAAATCCCTCGAAAATCCACTCAACCGTCTGAGTCGCGCAATGAACTTCTGAAGCATCCTGCCGCGGCGCCTCCAGCTAAACAACCAGTAACGCTCACTAGGTCCTGCCCTGTGAGCAACTGGGGAGAAAATCCTTCGTTCGTGCCCATTAACCATGCCAGCCTGGGACAAGAATCTGCCAAGAATAATCCAGCATTACATCAAGCCAGCTCCAGAGGCATCATCTCGTCCGCGGAGGAGCCCAGGCGAACTCAGACAGTCTTCTCGCCGGTCCTTCTCGAGGTCCCCCCAGCGCTGGGAGAAATCTCTCCGCCAAAGGTAAGCCGTCTGAATTAGACCACAAGTTGTTAGGATTACCAAAGGTTTGGAAATCATGATTTGAGTCAATGAAAATGGCTATTCCGTTGAAGTGGTGGGTTGGAACCTGCATCTTAGGTGTTAGTTGAGTCAAGATTCAACCCTCTTCATATTATGTCTTCGACCTTTCTAAAATTCTGTCCGCTCCCTATTGACTCTTCTAACATTCTTTCTAAATTATGTGAGCACTAGGTAGAGGGTCGGGTAAATTCAAACTATTTATTTTCACATCCCAGCTCTAAAAATAAAGCTCTTTATAACTAATGTATGAAAGGTTTTTGTAGTTATAGAGGCCAATATAGTAACTCGGTGATGTGTCAATACTGTTGTGAAATAAAGATAGGAGCTTCTTCTTGGGCGATGAGACGAGTTAGAACGCTGTCTCCCTGACAACAGTTGTCGCTCGTGTCAAAGCGGGCATAATCTTACAAGGATAACATGACCAGCAGTTAACTTCATGAAATATTTGCTATTTAATGGGCAACTTTATCTTTATAAATGTTCAGTTCCTGACATTAGTATTTGTTATCGCGTCTACCTCGATATTCTGAATGATTTCAGAGCTTCAAACAGCGCTTATGGGAGGCCAAAAGAATGCCCAGGCTCGAGGAGGCCGTTGCAGAGCCTGCGCTCCCACCTCCATGTCATGACTCCAGAACACATGAGCTCCAGGCTCCTGAACGTCTCCAGGTGCACTCCAGCTGCGCACGTCCTACGCAAGCTGTGCCTAGAACTGTCGACGATGCGCAAGGTAGATGAAACTTATCCCACACTCCTACTGCACTAGAATGGTACTGATATGAGTTGCTTCTTCGCTAACTTGTGTGAGGGTGCAATATACATTGTACACTCTCATTGCTTATCGTCCATTGGCAAGTTTTGAACTACGGTGCCATTACGTGTGAGAGAAGATGGAATAAAGAAGCGTTACTTTGTATGCACACAGGAAAAGGAAATTTAAGTGTTCATTAAGTTGACTTCTTGAGTTAGGAATCATTTTCAGATCTTCTACCAAATTCGTTGCAAGTTTGGCGTTAAGAATTATTATAGTGCAGTCAACGCCTGCAATCAATGTCAATCAAACAGTACAATAAATTAGGGCGTTCGCGTTGTAATGTCACAAGTGGAAGAAATTCATTGCTCTCGAGTGTTTCTTATTGTTTAGAAATAGAATTTTACTCCGATCTCTACACGGGAAGGGAGATGGCCGAATATTATACTAACAGCTCTCAGAAGTTTGCAACTGAAAATTAAGAAGATTGCTCAGCAAATCGCCTCATAGCCTGTGTTTTTGTCTTTTTTCCTCTCGATTGTTTTGAAGGGAGACTATAAGGGTGGTACACCCAGTCGCACTTCTTAGAAAACTAACTGTACCACTTGTTTTTTTTTTCATTTTTAGATGGCGCGTGTCAAGATAATTTGAATACTTAGATCGGATATAAGTATTAAAATCACTTGGCTGCTTAAGTCGCAAATTCACCAGGAATTTAAAAGTAAAGAAAATAGCCAAAAAGTTCACCATTTCTTATAAGAGAAAACGTTTCGGAGTCCAGCTCCATCGTCAGTTCAAACCCTAGAATACTAATTGTTTGTACCTGTGTTCTAGGGTTTGAACTGACGATGGAGCTGGACTCCGAAACGTTTTCTCTTATAAGAAATGGTGAACTTTTTGGCAATTTTCTTTACTTTTAAATTCCTGGTGAATTTGAATACTTTATTGATGAAGTTTAGAAATTTGTTTGCACAGATAGCTTCTTGCTTGTTAAAAGCTTTGAGCAATTGAAATTACGTTCATGGTTTGACTGCTGAGGCAATTCTTCATGACCAGAAATGGTATCTGAGTTGATCACTCATTTTTATCATTTTATTGTGCTGAAATCTTCGTTCTCATAATTGCCGTAGAATTCTTATTGTTCAATATTTAGAGCAATGTTTGGCTGTACTCTTTTCTCTTCCACTATACATTGGATCAACGGCAAATTGAATAGAGCAATATCTTTGTACACTCTATTTATACAACAAACATTTATACTGTAATTGTTTGTAATTTTTAGACGAGTCTGTGAGCTGCGAGCTGCTGTCGCTGAGCGTCCTGCGCGGCGTGGCTGAGGACACGAGCTCCACGTGGCTGCTGCCTTCGCCCTGTGGCCTCTCGCGCTCCATCGCCCCTCAGCCCTCCATGCTCCACACAGTCAGTCATGTGGCCTCAGTCACGCCTCCCTCCAGCCTCTACACAGTCAGTCATGTGGCCTCAGTCACGCCCCCCTCCAGTCTCCACACAGTCAGTCCTGTGGCCTCAGTCACGCCCCCCTCCAGTCTCCACACAGTCAGTCATGTGGCCTCAGTCGCGATAAGTAACGACCATTCCGGTGTGAAATAGCGGGATTGAAGTTCCCACTAAGACAATCTTAGCTGTTTTGAATCTTATTGGATATTTATACGGTACTCTTCATTCTATTACTCTTATTCAACCCAAAGTCGTATGCTAAGAACCTATTCGTTTTCTGGGACTAAACTCGAACGTGGTTTCCATGGTCTTGTGCTTTTTCCATCATGAAAAATAATCCTGGCATGGGCAGCCTGAAACATGTTTTCAGATATATTCTCTGGTATATTCTCGACCTCTATTGGCTTTATTACCAAAGTGGTTGGCAGCAACATACATGTGGCATCTAAGTTAGAAATGTCGAACATAACTGATAAACGGCACTGGGGTTAAAAGCTGGATTTTTTTAGAAATGTCGAACATAACTGATAAACGGCACTGGGGTTAAAAGCTGGATTTTTTTAGAAATGTCGAACATAACTGATAAACGGCACTGGGGTTAAAAGCTGGATTTTTAGTCCCATAGCTGTGCTGCAATATGGGAGCATATGTGCCCATCTGTGTTTTCTTTGATAGTTCCACTTTTAAACACTGTGATCTTCATCTACATTGACTTTGATTTCTAATTTTTTCAACGATCAAAAATTTACTCAGTGAATTATTAGAAAGTAATATTTTATCAGGATATTTTTTGTGTATTAGATGTAATAAAGCATGGACCGTATGAGCGCAGGCTCTTTGATCGCTGTAGTTGGAATGAGACAAGAGCTGGGAATATTCTTCAGTGCAGTGTTCAAGGGACTCTCATGTCGCTGCTTGATGCGGATGCTGGAATAGGACGTTTTTGACTTAGTTAAATTGCATTATTTTAATGTTGCGTGATATTTTCAATTATTCTTATGTGTTATTTTCAATTATACACGTGTTATTTTTAATCATTCGTATGTGTTATTTTCAAATATACCGTACATCTGTGTTATTTTTTATAATACTTATGTGTTTTTTTAATTGTTGTGTTAATATCTGAACTGGTGTATTGTGAACTGACTTGAGAACGTGCGTGTGCAGGGCGAGGCGGACGACTGGTCGGCGCCGCCGCTGCTGAAGTACACCGCCAGCGACGTGTGAGTTGCGACGTGCTCAAGTCTTCATATTATATGTTCTCAAAAGACCATCAATAAAACTATTGAAAACTATAATATGTGTTGAAAATAATTAATAAAACTGTTGAAAACTATAATATGTGTTGAAAATAATTAATAAAACTATTGAAAACTATAATATGTGTTGAAAATAAAAGTGCTCACCTGTTGCTTATACAGGGTGACCAAAAAAAATTTGCTATAAGTAAAGGCTTATAACTCGAAAAGTTTTGAACGCAGAAAGATGAAATAAAAACCACATGAAAGAGTATAACTTCAAGTTTTATTTGGCATCCATGTTACCTAAGTTCTTTATATTTTTCATTGTTAAAACTCAATATTTTTTTCAAGATCAAGATCTTAAAATGTACCTATCTTTGTCTTCTCTTAGTCCGATCCTTTTATTATTTTTCTCCCGTAAGTTATGTTCTAAACGTGGAATTGAACTTATTTCGTATTTTAAATGTTTTTTTTTTATTTATTTGATGTTGCATGCGAGCTCATTTCATATTAATCCTGTTCTGCGGGAAATTTTATTGATGGCACTTACGTACCAACATTAGTAACGACTCAAACGTATCGAAGACGAAGGCACATTCGTTATTTTCTCATTAGTTAGTATTATTATTTAATAACCACCCTTATGTTTAAAAGCTTATGAAATTGAAGAGGTACATCATTAAATTTTAGCTATCGACAGAAACCAAAGCTTCAGGCCACCGTTATTTTTAGTTGCCTAACTGGACGTTAACTAACTGCAACCGGCACACTAGAGTGAAGTCAATAAACTGCGATCCGCGAAAATTTAATCAGTGATAGGAAGTTTGGCATGTCTGCCTATAAGCAATGTATATGATTTACTTTACATGATAGCGCAGAGTTCAGGTTACCGATGTACTTGATCTTGAACATCAATTTATTAAGTCGAACTCTCATCGTAGATGAGATGCCTAAGCATTCAAGAAGACATGTTTCAACCCACATGACATTGCGTTCAGAACCCACATGACATTGCGTTCAGAGTCAGTAATAGAAATATTATCCAATTATTTGAAGTTAATTGCGAGTAACACATTGAATACGTATATTTATTGTCTCTTACGTCGGCAAACAAGCTCGCTTTGCAGTTGGTAAACTTTAAGACAAGCTCGCTTTGCAGTTGGCAAACTTTATGCCTAACCAAGTTGTTTTTCAATGATGTCCATTAATATTCTCTCTATTATATATCATTTCATTGAAGTTACGCATTATTTTACCTCAGTTATTCCGTGTCACCAAGTTAGCTAATGATTTAGGCAGTAGTTTTCAAAGTGGGCGGTGGAAAGATCTAGGAGGAGGGCGATGGTGGAACAGTTAGAATTGCTAAGAAATGTATGTATTGGTTTACTAAATTGGTTTTTATTCGTGAAATGCACATATGTGTTTAACCTTTCCCAGGTGTTTGTTTCCATATGTGTCTGTGGGGAGGGGGCGCTAGGAATTCACAGAGTAGCCAAGGGGAAGCACCTGCAAAAGTTTGCTTTTCAATAATGTCCATCGATATTCTCTCTATTCTATATAATTTCATTGAAGTTACGCATTATTTTACCTTAGTTGTTCTGTGTCTTAGCTTGTCTAGCTTAGCTTGTGATGGCATTTTTAGCTTATTTATTCCATCCTTTGCAGGCCTTGGAACCAGCCCCAGCTGAGCAGCGGTGGTCTGATGTCGGAGGAGCAGGACGAGGCCGCGCAGGTCGCAGAGCTGCTCGAGGACGAGCAGTTCGGTGCGCTCGACATCGACGAGCTGGCGGAAGACGAGCGCCTCTGCAGCACGCTCATGTTGCCGCCCTCCGCTGACATCACCGGCCTCTGCGAGGTCAACGAGATCACCGTCAGGTAGCCAAGCCAACGCCAGCCCTGCACGCCAAGATGTTTGGTTTTTCGTTCAAGTTTTTTGTTTTTTCGTTCAAGTTTTTTGGTTTTTCGTTCAAGTTTTTTGTTTTTTCGTTCAAGTTTTTTGGTTTTTCGTTCAAGTTTTTTGTTTTTTTTTGTTCAAGTTTTTCGTTCAAGTTTTTTGGTTTTTTGTTCAAGTTTTTTGGTTTTTAGTTCAAGTTTTTTGGTTTTTTCTGTTCAAGTTTTTTGGTTTTTTGTTCAAGTTAACGAAAATTTTATGGCGGAAAGACAAAAACTGTATATAAAAAATAATTTATTCGATCAACCGTGTGCAGAAAATAAAAATTGCGTGAATTCCGCCATTATTTCGTTCAATGAAGGGCCAGCAGAAAACTTGAGGCGGATGACGTCATGCGTACGTCATCATGCGGCATCTATTAAGTAAATAATGAAGATCACATCAATATACCGAGAAGAGATTAATTGATCAATCGTTGTACTTGGAATTTGTCATTGGTTTCTCTGAGATCAATTAGCGAGTTTAACAATCATTTAATCAATTTGGAATTAGTTATCGATCACTAACTCAATTATACATCATTTGGATCAATTTATAAAAATCATTTCATATCATTTGCTCTATTGAAAACATAAGATTAGATCAGTTGGCCCTACATCTTTATTATAAATCAGGCCGTGAAGCGGCTATTAGATCTTTAACCCAACACCATCCTTGACAATGAATCACGCCCTGTCAATGCCGGACNGGTGCAGTAACATGCAGCAGTACCGTGGTGCAGTAACATGCAGCAGTACCGTGGTGCAGTAACATGCAGCAGTACCGTGGTGCAGTAACATGCAGCAGTACCGTGGTGCAGTAACATGCAGCAGTACCGTGGTGCAGTAACATGCAGCAGTACGGTGCTAAAGTGAGATGGTGGTATATCAACTTATCACAGTATCACAGCACATCATGCGTACAAGACGTGTATTAAAATACAAACCACAGTATCACAGCACATCATGCGTACAAGACGTGTATTATAATACAAACCACAGTATCACAGCACATCATGCGTACAAGACGTGTATTAAAATACTCATGTATTATAAGACCCATGTCAGCTCTGCTGGTGACGTGACATGTGTCTGTGCAGGGAGTCGTGGCTGGGCGGCAGGCAGGCGGGGGTACGGCGCATGCCTGTGGACGAGTACCTGATGGCGGGCAGCCTCGCCCTGGGCTCCCTCAGCGGCAGCAGCCAGCGCCCCAGCTTCGGCATGCAGCGTCCTGAGACACACAACCAACACTCCACGCACCAGTCTCTTGAGGAGGGCTTCGAAACTGCCACAGCAGAAGGCCACGCTAGTTGTGAACGGCCACAATCTAAAGACCTTTGTGAGGAAAATAGGCTTAATTCGAGAGGTGGAGGCATTGTGGCATCTGAGAGTGCTTGTGTGTTCCAGTCAAATGTTCGTCAAGCTGAAATTCTGACCAATGCTGATGGACGAAGTAATGTAAATATGGAAAGTCAATCGTATTCTCATGCATCCAAGTTACAGCTGGGAGTTTGTACGAGCGCTGGTGTACAGAAGGCAGGTGCCGTCGCAGCCTCTGGAGGATGTTTTAACGAGTTACGTCTTGGCCGAGAAGCGCCTTCTTCAGAAGAGTTGAAGGCCGTCGGCTCTCGCGCACGCGAGTGTAGCAAACAAGTAGCCCCTCCTACTACTGAAGGCCTCTCTTATGCCAGAGTTCCTGTGACGTCCAGCCACTCTGATTTACAAGACACTAAACGCGCAGAAAATGTGAGTCAAATTCATCCGCCTCATAAACAGTTACTTAAAAAATCTTCCTCTGCGACTACATGTAACGCGAATGAGACAAGCTCTCAAGTAGAGCGCCTAGCAAATAATGACAGATTCGGTCGACCTTCGAAGCTCTGTGAAGCGCAGAGTAATTTCCGTTCTCAGAGTCAGACGAACTTGTCGGAGTCGAATCCTAAGAATGGCGGCATTGTAGTTGAGAGAAGCGTCTCTCAGAAAACATTTGGAAACGAGACACGAAGTCTTCGTGAGCAGCTAGCGAAGCGCGATTTAGATGCCATCAAGCACGCTCTTTTGAACTTGAGAGACACTTCATCGCCAGGCACGATGCAGTCTGTTGTGTTGGGTGCAGTTAGTGAGCAAGCCACGGACTGCACGGCAAGTGTCAACGCTACCTTACAGGAGTCTGTGCTGGACGCGAGCATGGAGATCGAGCTGCTGCGAAAACAGAAGGAAGCCATCAAGAGCAAGTTCGCCAAACCATCTGCAGACGCTGGACGTGCCAACTTGGAAGCGCTAAGAAAAACAACACAGCAAGACGCTGGATTAGCCGCATGCGGCTCTGTTCACCATGCAGCTCAGAATGTTCCTTCCCGGCAGTTAGGCAGTAAGGGCTTGCCGGTGCAGAAAGAAGTTGATGTGCCCAACATGCCCCCTCCGCGTGAGGGTCATGAGGTCCTAGCGTCTCGTGACGCGCCCTTTGTTACGGACGACACGGAGCGCGCTAGTCTCGACGACACCATCAGGCTGGAGCCCTGCCTGCAGCAGTCGCAGTGTGTGCAGAGCTGTTTCAATGGCGCTCATGAGGACGAGCTGCTGGACCTGGAGGAAACACCAGGTCAGTTGAAGTTTTAAGTGAAATCCCTGCAATCAGTGTTGACTTAGGTTGTTACCTACCATATGAAGGAATTTTTCATGAAAGCAATATTGTTATTGTGTGTCAGGAATTCGGTGAAAAATAAACTCATCAATTGATTTGATATTATGAAAATAAATAGACATAAAACTTGTCTGCATCTTATGAAACATTAATACTTTGCACATACATACCTATGTGCTTTTGATAAGTAGGTATTTTTTTCCAAAGTTAAATCGAATGCTCTTTTTCCCTCACATCACAATGGGAGGTGTTGCTATGCCGTTACTGTCCGAGCTTCTTATTTTGTTGAACGTTTACACCGCCCACCCCAAAAGAGAATTCTTAAAAATTCAGTTTCTCCTCACCAGCTTTCCACAACCTGACGCTGTACGAGGAGCCTGGTTGCGTGAGCACGTGCGAGCGCGTGAGCGTGGAGGGCTGCGTGGTGGGGGTGAGCACGTGGTTGAGCGTCCCCCTGCACAACCCCACCGACCTGCCCCTCAACCTGCACGCCGCCGTCATCAGCGAGACTTTCAACCACAAGAACGTCGTCGCCTCGTCCTTCGTCTTCAAGCAGGGGCGCGTGATACTGCCACCTCGCCAGAACCTCGTCTGGGCGCTGGGCATCTGTGCCAGGTATCTGAGCTGGGCATCTGTGCCAGGTATCTGAGCTGGGCATCTGTACGTAGTGCTGTTGTGGAAACCTCCATTTAATGATCCTGCAAGGAAATTGGATTTTCATACAGGGGATCTTTCAAAATGCCTTCTTTTCTGAGATGCAAAGATACGTAAAGTACTAATGTCGCTTGATTGCCTAAATCATAAATTGATAAGGAATTTAAAAATGAATAAGATGGTACAGAAATTAACCAAATCTTTATAAAGTAAAAGTTTTTGAGTCCAGCTCCATCGTCAGTTCGACAAACCTTGAAAGTAAATCCAATCATTTTATGATCCAAAATTTAAAGTCAGGCATTACAACCTTAAATTGACAAAAGACAAATCATCTAAAAATAAGACAGCAACATTGGCCTATCTGTTAACAGTCTCACGGGGTTGGCAACTGAGTGCGGAATTTAAGCTAGGCTTCTGTTTGAAAATATAAAGGGACTGTAAAATTCGCGAGTCTACACCCAACCCAAATAATAATTGGGATGGGTGTAGTGGAGGTGGAGACCATCACAAAATCCTTGTTTTCCTGAACCATTCGCCACGGTCACCCTCAGGCCCACTAGGTTGCTTATAATACCGTGGTATTAGTCTACTGGAACAGTGTGCAGTGGCTAGGTATTATGATAACTTCAAACAGGTTCTTATTCATTCAGATTTATTTACAGTAATGATGGAGGAATAGATTGTACGGTAGATACTGTATTCATACAAACCACAATAACATGGGAAGGTCAAGGTACAGTGATAGCGTAGCGACAAGTCCAAACTATCGTTCCTGGTTAGCTATGGCCTTCCTTATTTTCGGGATATCCGTTATTTTGTCTACTCAAATTCTAATACCTAACAGGTACAAATAGATTTCATATGGGCTATGTGCCCTACGGGTGCTATTTGAATAAGCGGCATTCGCTACAACTACACAGTGCTTTATTTTTATCTTAGTAATTCAGTTGCGTTTTTCGATTGACTGAACTCATCAGTTCTCCAACCTCCTCCCTGCAGGGCCGCTGGAGTGGTTCAAGGCTCGCTACAGCTGCAGCTGATGCACCAAGGGAGACAGGAGCCTCTCGTGACACATGTGGTGCCCATCACTGCCACGGCAACACTACCGCAAGTTACCATAGGAGACTCCAGACCCCTGGAAGTTGGTTCTGTACCCGAGGGCTTCACATACGACGCGCAGTTTGAAGTGCACAACAAAACAAAGAGCTCCCTGCGCGTTGTGCTAAGCCTCGTGCAGGCCTTCTCGCAGCCCGTGTTCCGACTAGTGTCGCCGCCTGAGGGTGGTGTCTTGTCACCGTTTGAAGTCGCGTGTGATCTGGCGCCAGGCACCAACACCTTCAGCATGCAGATCATGGCACCGAACTTGAGCAACGTCGGTAATGAGTCCAAGGAAACCATAAAAATGAGCTGCAGACTTCAAGTTAAACTCGACTCGCGCGTACTCCCTCGGCCAGTGCTGGCGAGCGAAAGCGTGAGCGTGGACGTGGTGGCCGTGCACCTTCACTTGTCACGCTCTTGTGTGCCCCTGCGTCTACAGGCTGAGGTAGACTCTCACGCCTCAGCCCCTCTCACGCTCAAGAACTTATCGTGCATACCATTGTCTCTGAAGCTGAGGTGCGATGACGCGGGGCGCGGCGACGGAAGCTGCAGCGCCTCCTTGGCCATCGTGCCCGACCGTCTGGTCATCCAACCGAATGCTCTCGTGTCGCCCGTCGTGGTTTTCACGCCCCTTGGGGAGGTCACGAGCTTCACGGCTACCGTGGTCATTCAGGTCGAGCCTCATGGTTTGGAGTATGAAATTCCAGTTGAGGTATCTTCAGTTTTGACTGACAATAAATTCAGCGATACGAATACCGGGCTGACTGACAAAGTTGAGAGTTCAAATAAAGAGGACAAAGGCACTGAACTTACAGGTGAAGACTCCGCTCCCGCTATGGAGTTACAATACCCAATAGAAGCGAGCAAGACGCGGCTGGTGTTTGGATGTGTAGATACTGGGACGGTCACGCACCAGAAACTGTCGTTCTGTAACCGCAACAGCGCGGACCTCGTCCTGAGCTACAACGTCGCAGGATCTCCGTGCTTCTCAGTGGCGGAGCCTCGAGACGCCACGAGTATCGTGGTGCCTGCTGGTGGTGTGGCTGCCGTGGTCGTGGCCTTCTGCCCCAGTAGCGTGGACCTTCACACCGCCAAGCTGGTCTGCAAGCCCCGGGGCCTTGTCAACCAAAGGGTCAAGTATAGCGTGAGTGCTTCTTGTTGCTATACTTCCTAAGATGTTCGATACATGTGCTGACTTCGTGATCAACTTCAATGCTAAACATAGGCTCACTGGTTACATTGGCAACAGAACTTGTGAACTGTTGTAAAAACGGTCATAAATCGGAACTTGAATCAAACATGCAAAATATGAATCTCAAATGGTCATAGCTTGAGTTTATGTTCGGTTAGAAAATACATTACCATCCAATGTTTTTCGTTCAGAAAATTTATTAACATTCTGTGTTTCTTAACTTTGCATTGGTCACGACAATGTTCTGTATTCGACATATATGACCCGCGTTGCCCGTGTGTGCAGATCCAGCTGCAGGGGTACGGAGGTCGGGGGGCGCTGGAGACGCCGGACCAGCAGCTTCAGTTGCACCCCACCAACGCCGGCGCCCCTGCCATCCTGCACCTGGCGCTCACCAACCCCGGCGTCCGCGCCGTGTGTGTCGCCGTCTCTGCCCACTCAGGTCGGTTAATTACCTGTAAAATAAATTTAATCGCTCGTGTCTGGTTTTAGACTAAATGAAGGTCTGATGAGGCTAGAAACATTGCTATAATAACTTTATTTGCGGTCACTGCAGACTCGTCGTGTAGCGTGCGTGCAGAGGGCGTGATGGTCACGCCAGAGGAGCTCGTGCTGTCGCCCGGACAGTGTCAGAACCTGATGGTGGTTGTGTCTGCTGACAACGGTGAGACTGAGGCTTGTCAGGTGCCGTAGTCAGGGTAACGTATTCTTCATGTCGGTATTACATGGCTGACGAGAGGGAAAACTTTACCTCGTTTTTTTTTTCGGCTCACATTCCATGATGTACTTTATCTCCCTGATTCTTTCTCTGTCACGCACCCCGGAACACGCGTCTTGCCGAGCGAACAATTGTTTCGGTACGCAAACCTTTGAGCCTCAGCGATTGTATGCCCGCTTGATTGAACATTCCTGTTTGATTGATTGAACATTCCTGTTTGATTGATTGAACAATCCTGTTTGATTGATTGAACAATCCTATATGAATGATTGAACAATATTGTTTGAGATCTCCTTTCTGCAGCCATCTCCGCAGATGTAGGTGACCTTTGATTTTAGGATTGTATTTTTCCTGTTAGCGTAGGATGTGAACTGGAAATTAATATTAAATGCACCAGTGTTTCAGTGTCTCTACGATTTTTGTCCGTAACCTATTTCATACGAGACCTTATATAGGTAAGCAATACTTATATAGCAATTGTCGATCAATGAATAATAAAATTATAACAATGTAACTAAATCATAAATCACATATTAAATTTCTATAGCCTAATCAGTAACAATAGAAGTTCCAATACCGGTACTTCATCTAAATTTTCTCCTAGTCTACATATGCATTAACCGTCGTATTTGCTGATCGTATTTGTAGACCTTATAATAACTGTTTCCGTCAGTAGACCAATCGTATTTGTAGACCTTATAATAAGAGTTTCCGCCAGTAAACCAAAGATTGAATGTGTATCTTAACTGTGTGTCGTGCGTGCAGACGTGTGGCGTGGAGTCGGTACGGGCGTGGGGTGCCTGCTGCTAGCGTACAGCGAGGAGCTGCTCAGGCGCCGGTACAGAGCGCGTCTTGCCGAGGGCTGTAGTCGCGCCCTCAGCGTCAGCCGCGCGCTACCCACCGACTGGAACGTCACCCTCAGGGGCGAGAAGGCGCTCGCAATCGACGACTCGCTGCCATCGCACCCTGACGACGCTAAAATATTCTTAGCTTCGTGCCGCTATATCAAGGTTGGGCATAAGCCTCTTTTGGCTATTTATTTCTTTGATGCACTGCATTGCGTCGTTCGTTTCTTGCATTCGTATCCCTTGATTCGTGTGCTGTAGTCCTAGTTGAGCTCGTGGTGGGATTGTTCATGTGTTGATAATTCGTTTGTCCAATCGTTCGCTCAGATTCAGCTAAAATTAGTAAGGTACGGTATTGCATGTTAGTCGTTTTTATCGCGTACAAGTTTGGAGGAAGGAAATTCACTGCGTTGCAGGACTTAGATGTGTATAAGAGACAGGTCCTGTTTGATTGATTGGACAATCCTGTTGGATTAATTGAACAATCTTGTTTGATTGGTTGAACAATCTTGTTTGATTGATTGGACAGTCCTGCTTGATTGATTGGACAATCCTGTTGGATTGATTGGAGAATCTTGTTTGATTGATTGGACAATCTTGTTTGATTGGTTGAACAATCTTGTTTGATTGGTTGAACAACCCTGTTTGATTGATTGAACAATCCTGTTTGATTGATTGAACAATCCTGTTTGATTGATTGAACAATCCTATTTGAATGATTTAACAATATTGTTCGAGATCTTTTTGCAGCCATCTCCGCAGGTGTAGGTGACCTTTGATTTTAGGATTTTATTTATCCTGTTAGCGTAGGATGTGAATATTAATAATATTATATTAATAATATTAAATGCACCCGTGTTTCAGTGTCTCTACGATTTTTGTCCGTAACCTATTTCATACGAGAACTTATATATATGTAAATAGGCGAATAATGCGAGTAACGCCTAAGACGCCTCGGACACTACCTGACTAAGTAAAGCAATTGTCGATCAATGAATAATAAAATTATAACAATGTAACTAAATCATAAATCACATATTAAATTTCTATAGCCTAATCAGTAACAATAGAAAGTATTTGTAGACCTTATAATAACTGTTTCCGTCAGTAGACCAATCGTATTTGTAGACCTTATAATAACTGTTTCCGTCAGTAGACCAATCGTATATGAAGACCTTATAATAAGAGTTTCCGCCAGTAAACCAAAGATTGAATGTGTAGCTTAACTGTGTGCCGCCTGTGCAGACGTGTGGCGTGGAGTCGGTACGGGCGTGGGGTGCCTGCTGCTAGCGTACAGCGAGGAGCTGCTCAGGCGCCGGTACAGAGCGCGTCTTGCCGAGGGCTGTAGTCGCGCCCTCAGCGTCAGCCGCGCGCTACCCACCGACTGGAACGTCACCCTCAGGGGCGAGAAGGCGCTCGCAATCGACGACTCGCTGCCATCGCACCCTGACGACGCTAAAATATTCTTAGCTTCGTGCCGCTATATCAAGGTTGGGCATAAGCCTCTTTTGGCTATTTATTTCTTTGATGCACTGCATTGCGTCGTTCGTTTCTTGCATTCGTATCCCTTGATTCGTGTGCTGTAGTCCTAGTTGAGCTCGTGGTAGGATTGTTCCTATGTTGAAAATTCGTTCGTCCAATTGTTCGCTCGGGTGCACGGAAAATTTAAAAAAATATGTATAATATTTTTAAAAATATGTATAATATTTTTAAAAATATGTATAATATTTTTAAAAATATGTAGGTATAATAATAAATTTTAAAAATTTAAAATATAATGCATGTTTTTTTTCGCGTATGAGTTCATAGGAAGGAAATTCACTGCGTTGCAGGACTTCGTTTATTGGCTGTATTTGTAAGGAAGTTGTAATCAGCACAGAGCTAATCTCTAACTTTTAATTGTTATTATTTTTTCGTTATTTTTAGCGCATTTTCTCATTTATGAAAAAAAGCGCTATTGTGCTCGTCATGTCCGTCCGTGACTTCAAGTCACGGACGGACGAGAAAATGCGCCATCACCCGCTGGAGTGAGTACCTACCGAGTTATTTTTTCATTTTTTATTCAGTTTCATCCCGATATTCTTTACACGATCTTCAAACAAAGGTTCGTATCAAAATCCTTTCATTCTTGTTCCCTGCTATGCAATTTTTAGCGCATTTTCTCATTTATGAAAAAAATGCACTATTTTGCTCGTCATGTCCGTCTTTCTGTCTGTCTGTCCGTCCGTGACCTCAAGTTTTTGTCGACGAGAAAATGCGCTCACTGTCACTCACTGCAGTGAGTACTGAGTTACATTTTCTAATAAGGGCTCTAAGTAATTTTCATTGCTATCAGGTACCTGTGGTGAACAGCGCTCTTCCTAGCGGCAACCACGAGGCTTCGTTGACTTTCTTCTCGCCTCTCAACGCCGACTCGACGTTAAGCCAAACGTTGACTCCCACAACGTCTTGCGTTACAAACAACACTTTCCCTGCATCAGCCTACAGCTCGTCATCAAGCTCGTCGTCGGCGGAGAATACCTTGCTCCCCACGCGAGACGATGACTCACTGGACAGTAGTGATGTCTCTTACAAAAACTTGGCTAAGCTAAGTAATCAGCAGGTCGCCGCTACCCATGATTCAGGAACCCGAACTCATGCTCTGGAGAAGAACGTTATTGTTCCCGCCACCGCTAGTAACGACTTGAATAAATCAGGTGCTTCTCATTCTGATGAGTTCACCAACAGAGCCATTCCGGACACGGGGCAGATGCGACGTGGTCAGCCTGCTCTGAAAAGTGGCAGCACGAATTGGCCACCCAGTAACGCTCAAACAGCTGCTGGGAAACCATTTCTTAGTGAGAGCGACTCAGAACGCGATGAAACTGTGGACTCTACTGATCTCCGGAGTATGGAAAGCAACTATGGCGCCGGCATCAAATTTAATAGGAAAAGCGATGAGAACAACTTGAACGTGCGGTGTAGTGACAGTAACAAGGATAAGACAGCCCTTACTCGTCAAAACAGAGAGGCGTCTTGCGTGGGCGCGACCTGTGCTGAGATCAGCAATAACCTGATGTCACCGCAGCGCGTACTGAAAAACTCGATGGCTGTTAACGTACCTGCGCCTGGAAGAGCCTTACAACCCTCCGGCTGGACGTCTCACGACAGCGTAGACAAGGAGAACCGTTCACAGTGAGTAATTTATCCATCGCTTGCATACAAATAATTGCTTCAACCGCTCCTTAGTTGGACAAAAGGGCTTCGTTTAGATATCCGATGCTTTGAATTCAGTCATAAACCTAATTCATTTTCATCAGATCAAGCGTTTGTCTTATTTGCTATCCTTTCATGATGGATTCTGTCTCGATCAAATAACTTCAAAGTTACTGTAAGGAAGACTATTGAGATACACCAGCCGGATTCTCGCTATTAATTTTTCTAGTTTATTCATATAATCAACATTTGGTTGTTGATCTTTTGTTTAATTTACCTGTCCCCAAAGCTTGTAATTTGTCACTTGCATATCTCATCCCTTCTGTTTTTGACCGTCGTAAGATGAAACCTACGTTGACTTAGCTTACATGACCGACCTTAAGATGCTCAGTGTAAGCGTCACTCCATTTCTTGCTGCGCTCGCTGATCAAATGCCATCCGGTTTTGAAATCTGCTGTGAAATTGGTGCACATTCTTTACGAGCGTCAGAAGATTATTTGTCTTTGTACTTGCAGAGATGAAGAGGAAGCCTGCTTTGAGGTGTACCCTGACGAACTCAGTATTGAGTTTGGTGTCACCGCTGCGCTGGTGCTCGTAAATAAAACAAATCTACAGCTCAACTTCCAGGTGAGTTTCATTATAACATAACACAAATTTTACCTGTGACCTTACAATGATGTTCATAAACTTCCGCTGGAACGCCATTGGCGTCTTGCAAATGCTGGTTTTGGTTTCTATGGAGAAATTGAATTTTGTAAAAATTTGTTAGTACAATCAATTTGATCTTTAACTTCGTGTTGCTCCAGCAAAACTCCACGTAATCTGCTGCCATTTTATTGGTCAGTTTTTTCATGGAAGTGCTAAAAATGTGGTAACTCGCTAAGACCCATGACATTTTATCTCACTGGAAATGATATTCATCGTCGTATGACTTTCTCTAAGTAATGCAGAGCGGCAATTCTTGACTAATTTATGGTAGTTAAATAACGCGGGAGTATTTTACCTCTCTCTCCTCAGATCACTTGTTCCCACTCTTGTCTCCCCTCAGATCGCGTGTTCCCACTCTTGTCTCCCTCAGATCACGTGTTCCCACTCTTGTCTCCCTCAGATCACGTGTTCCCACTCTTGTCTCCCTCAGATCACGTGTTCCCACTCTTGTCTCCTCGTGGAGCCCGTAGCGCTACATGTCACCGCCCATAGCTCGGCCAGCGCGCGGCTACGGCTGCTGCAGCAGCTACACTCCCCCGCCTTCGTTCTCCTCACCGTGCGTAATGTTCATTGTTCTTATCATGTCATGTTATATTATATATCATGTCATATTATGTATATTATGTCATATACTATAATATGTAGTAATGTTCTCCTCACCGTGCGTACACTGCGAGAAATATGAGTGAAATTAGTCCTAATATTGATACACTTTTTAGCCGGTTGGTCACTCTGACCCATGGTGAGCCACCAAAAAAGAAGTATCACTGCTACTTGCACTAAGTGTGTCACTATTTGGACAATATGACCCGGTCATATATCTGAGAGTAACGTTCATTGTTCTTGTCATGTCATATTATAGTATGTCATGTTATATTATATATATCATGTCATATATTAGCGCCGGTATTATTGGAATTGTTTAACTTCAATTGTGATGATCTACCATTAACAGTAAATCACTTCTTGACTTGCAGTACGCATGGATGCATAGTGATGGCTTTGGAATTAACGTACATGAACTTGAAAAGTTTCCACCATTAAACATTAGAAGAACCCAGAACCCTCGATCAAATTTAATTGTCAATGCAGAAATAAATTCAAAAATTAAATGCAATTGATAATGCAATATACCTGTTGCGCAAATGTGACCGTGTTGCTGTCGGGAAAACCTCGAGGTTAAAACATTTAATGCGTAGCTGCGACGGAGCTTCTTTGCTGGGGTGTGGACGCTAGTGCATGTATGGCCGGTTTTTATTGAATACTAACAGCTTGCTCATCCCGGTTTTGAAATTTGAGAGCCTTATCATCATCTTGTCCGAATCCTGTCATCCCGATTCTAGTGCATACCTAGTTGTGAAATCAATCGACATTACATGACTCTAGTGCCTAATTCAAATCAAACTCGGACTATTCAATTTTTTAAGAGGCTTTCGGCGTACCAAACTAAAAATCACATTCCGCTTGTTCAATCATCCGTGCTCTCCATTTTGCAGTGCCGCGTAATTCTTCTATTAATACAAAAATTTCAGCTGCAGGCAATACCCATAAATATACATAAAGGCAATGACCGAACAGCCCGTGTATATTTACGGTACCAGGCTCAAGACGCCAACAAACTTTCTGCAATATATAACAGGAATGGCGAGCTCTCCATGTGACCGCAGTCGGGAGCTAACAAGCGCGTGTGCGACGCACTTGCTCAAGCAAATGGGCTGACATATTCTTCCAAATGCGACTTTTTCTTTGAATATTTCTAGAAATGAGCGCTCTATTTCAGCAAAGTCATACATACGATCTATGTTATGCAAAGATCATATTTTCAAAAAAATCGTGTTTTTTTGTGGGAAGATGACCTTCCCTAAAAAAAGTAGCTCATTAGAAGTGCCGAATATTTGCAATGAGCGCAGTCACCAGGGAATGTGTTCGAGATTCAGCATACAAACAAGTGCATTAGTTCTCATCCATTTACCAAGGAGATGAGGTAGAAATGCAGTATAACTTGCATGAAATTCTGCATTTCCTGGTGAACCAGGACTCTAGATGAACTGTTGTGCAAAATTTCAAACAATTACTCATAGCTTTGAGCCAGCAATCTTCTCAATTATTGGCGCCTCTGTCTCATTGGTGATATACGTTTGGAAGAAAATTGTACCGCGAACTAAGTGTACCGGGGTCTTTTGTTGCAATCTGCATTGAAGAACTAGTTGCGACACTTGTCTGTGTCGGATAGCGTGTGCGTGTCCTTGATGCTTTCAGCAGCTCCGATGTTCCGTCTTTGTGTTAGTCGATGTTCATAAGCTAGTGGAATTTCAACTCACAAAAGTAAAATTTTTTTATTTATTTAACCTCTTATCGTACAGCCTGGCAACATTAAACATGCGTGCGTTAATTGTGCAGAGTCCCGACGAAATTTCGTCTTTTGATTCCAAATAACGAAGCAAAGGAAGCAAAGACTCAACGTCCAGTGAGGCAAAATGGTTTGATTTTTTACTGAATTCTTATACGATAGGCTGTGATGTAAGTTATATATAATAAAAGATTCTTTATGAAACTACAGGTGAAGTGCAACAGGACGGAGCAGTTCGTGAAAGTGACGTGCCTGCCCGGCGCCAGACCTGCGAATGATCTTCCTGAAAAACGGTCAGTCTGTAAACACATGGTAATTGCTAAAGTGAACTCACGATTAATTATAACTTGGGAAACTGCATTTGTTACCGAGAAATATAGTGATCGTTCAATGTTGTTTATGTTCTTTTTCGCTGAAGATCACATGACGAGTTCCTATGAAGCTACGGAAGCCCTTGTGGAGTATCGCACAATATTTCCATGTATTTTCGTTGCAACTTCCTTTTTTTCTAAATTTTATGTCCGTTTTATTTTGTTTCATCTAAACTCCGTTAATAAATTATAGAAAAGCCTTTCCTGAAAATAATGATGATAAATAATTGAGAACCAGCGTCCTGTAGAAAGGTTAAAGAGGTTTCCCGACTCAGTAGGATACGCTATTGAGTTGTAAACAGAATGTCAGGGGGCGCAAAAATAGTGCGAAGTTAGGCAGGAATAAAGTAGGAATTGCGAGGATGAAATGAAGATGTGACTGCGGGAATCAAGACTGGGAATGGGGCCTAAAATAGAATGGACTCGAATAGAGTCCATTATTCTTGTGCGAGCCATAAATCTATGTATTTTACATATCTTCACGATCAATGAAATACGGTAATTTTAAATCTTTGTTGAAAGTTCTTATGGTGAATCTCTTAAATGCTTCCTTTGCCTGCAGGACGGGCATATCGGGACTTGAGGTTGGACTCACGAAAATGCAGTTTCCCATCACAAGAGCTGGGAAGCAGAGCTACATTAAACTCCCACTCAAGAACTTGTCCAACAGCAACAAACAGGTAGCCTTTTCATTTATGTTCAATTTTTATATTAATTTTGCAAGTAGGTTGTACTAATAGCTGCGGCTGTCGATATTATAGCACATTCCAAATTCTATGCGAGTTTTAAACTAAACTTGCATTTTTACAAAACTTCTCTTTAACTTCATTTCTTGTTGTTTGTTGGTTTGTTTGTCTGCTACAAATCTTATGAGCGATATGTAACACACTTCTACATGCCCAATCGATCTGAAATTTTGCACACTTGCGCAAAATTGGAAATAATACATGAATCAATTGACAGAATGAAAAATTTTGAAAATTTGAAAAATTTTGTTTTAAATATTTAAAAAATTTTGAATTTTTTTATACATGAAAATTAAATAAATTCATCGCACATGTGTAACATGAGAGACTCTGGCCCGTTTAGAAATGTTTTTGATACTACTGATTAATTTTGAATGAAAAATTACAGCGGTTAAGCTGCAGCTTGGAACAATATCTTGAAATATGTCTTGGGTTGCAGGTGACGGCAGCAGTCACTTCAGGCGTGGACGCGTTCATCGTGAAGCACCCGCAGTTCCTGGTGAAAGTTGGCCACTTCGTGAACGTGCCCGTCTACTTCCGACCCCGCGCCCCTGGGACCCACCAGGGCGCGTTACGGCTGCTGGCGGGGCACGACGAGGAGACGCTGGTGGTGCTGGAGGGCACATGTCCGTAGCAACATGGCCGTAGCATCATGTCCGTAACAACATGCCATTAGCAACATGCCCGTAGCAACATGCCCGTAGCAACATGCCCGTAGCATCATGCCCTTAGCAACATGTCCGTAGCAACATGCCCGTAGCAACATACCCGTAGTAACATGCTCGTATCATCTCGCTGCTTGTGGTAACTCAGGAATTGCAGGGAATGTGCTGATGTTTCCTTACATCGTCTTCTGCCCCACATGATTCATGGAAATATTTCCATGTAAATGGCAATTCATATTGATTTTAAAACTTAAATTTGTAGATACTTGAAGTAAATGTGCCTTAAAATAGAATACTAGTTGTTAATCCCGCCTGTATCTGGTGCTCATTTCCATAGCTGAGAATGTTGTACTTATTCAGTAGGGTCCTTCTCTACTTCAATTGTGCTGTGTTCACTTGTTGACTGAAGTAGCGAACTCTTTTCATTGCGTTTTTAAAAAAACCAGCTCTACTTCATTTCTGAGAAGTTAGACAGTTGTTTGCTACGCTTCAACTGCTCGTATCGTGCAGAAATCAACTGCGAGAGCAAATCCTATTTATCATGTACGGTGCTACGTACAAAATAGGCATTTTAATTTGTCGTTTAGATCTCATATGTGATTCAAGTAAAGGCGATACAGTTTCCCTACCAATGCGAAAGTTAACGCTTTTATGGCTCATCTCAAGCTGTTGCCATTAAAATGATCATTTATTAATACAATTTATGAAATTTTGTTAGTAGTAAGAACTCGAGACTGCGTATTATGAACATAACGTCCATGGGACCCGTAATCTCGACACGGAAACAGAAAATGAATATCAAATATATTCGTGCTCATTTCCTATGAACTATCAGTGCGGTAAAGCATTTGTACCGTCACGACAGTCGGCGAGAATTACGCGTCACTGCAAAGAACGTGTTAGTTTTTCATCAATGTAATTGATGGTGTTTTTAAAAACTTCATTTGGCTCGGGAGTTAGTGTATTGTAAAGAATGTTCCTCAATATTCTTTTGTGTATACTTGACTTCAATTATTTCATTGTACTCCTAAGTCAATTGTATTGCATTCCGAACAGCTTTACCGACGATGTTTTAAGCCTATAGTCAAAATAAAGCTTCGTACATCTTTCCCTGCCTATGAATTTTAACCAATATAATTAATATTGTAGAACCCTTTTCTCACACTCTGTTGTTGGGGTGTTCGCCATCTGAAGTTGTTTATCTTTTACCGCACAAAGCTTAGCATTCACGCCACCTCACTCCATCCCGGGTTTTTGACGAAGCAAAGAAAGAACTAAAATGGAATTTATCGTACAGACATTAAATGAGTAACATTTCTTAACCATTAGTAGGTTAATTAATGAATTTGTTTTATTTATCAAGATGACGAGCTGGAGCAACTTGATTGATGGCTTCATTTTGAATCGCGTGCTGAATGCGTACGTTCCGTATTAGGTATATCATAAAAATTAAGCTGCTGTAGGAATGGAAAGCTGAACAACAAAGTTATTCTTCCCACCATACATCAAGTCTGATCAGTTCTGTAACTCAAATTGTATCGACAGACAATGTCGAAAAATCACCATAAACAACCAAAGGTTTAACTATTTAATCCTCAAGCCATGCGTTCAGAATGTCTCGTTTTGTCGCACATTGTAATGGAATCTCTTGTTCTGTCTCGTGCTACAATACGATATCTCGTATTACTTCACGTCTTATTTAATAACAATCTGTCTCGTATTACTTCACGTCTTATTTCATAAAAATCTTTCTTTCATCAAATCCGGAATACAATTATTAAAATCCTGGACACAAATATTGTGTCGATTAATCGAGGTAATTGTACGTTGCATCTGACAGTTGTCCGAAAACATTTTACTGATGGTCCGGAAATTTTTTTATTAGAGGACTTTGATTCTATTCTCGTATGCTTGCCGAATAATTAGTTGTCAAAAATGAACTGCAACATCAGTGAAAATATCAAGAAGAAATTACAATGATTGACTGCAATGATCATTGATGCTACATTTTCAGTAGCGTGTGAGCTCATAACCAATTAGTTCTCTTCGTTTATTCTGCGATCAGTTATTCGTCTTTCTGGTCATAAAACCTGTAACCGTTCTCAGGGAAGATTAATTGTTGCATTTGCGTCGGAATGAAGTTTGGCGCTACCATTTGGATAAGTTCTTGGCTGGTTAGCTTCCTTATAGAATGCACTAGCGAATATATCTACTGTCAATGACACCTAAACCATTCAGCAGTTACTGCACACGACTCGAAGCTCGTAAACAACAACCATATAATACTAGTTAGAATTACGATTTGATAAGTTAGATTGCTATTTGATAGCTTAGAAGCTTTTTCAAACGCGTTATTAAGTATTGGCTCCGTTTTGGTAATAAAATAGCTCATTTCTTTGGCAGGCTGGCGACGTAAGTGTTGTGGCGAAGCTATTGGCGTTGACGGGAGGATCTGCCACTTGTACTGACGACATCTTTCTTATCTCTATTACCTACTGATAACCTCTCCTCGCTATGCTTGCGAGAATAGAGCCAGGGAGCTTCGTTTAGAAAAAAAATATATACATTGATACGCAGCAAAAGTTGCAACAATAGCCATATAACCTCTTATGAACCTATTTAAAGAAGTATCATATAAACACTCGACTAAAAACTGGATGAAGAAAATGAAAAATTATCATATAATATTTTAATATAATATAATAAGTGTATATTATAATAACTGTTTAAGTATTTCATTATAATAAAGTGAAAATATTTTATTAATTTTCTCCATGATTATCTTCGATTATGTTCACGCACAATAAAATTTGTCACGGATGCGTATCGTAGGCTGTATAATACAAGCTCTTTTATTAAATAGCCCCATGAGCCGAATATACTTCCATTAAATCGAACCACTGCCCACATTAATTAAGGAACCCCTAAACGTTCAAGCAGCTTGATCAAAAGCTCAACCGGTTGATGCCCGCTTTATTCAACCTCATTCAAGTCTTCATTCGTTTGATCAAAACCTTCTTACCGGAAATGGGATGGGACCAATGCACACTTGCTGCTAAAATGTTCGATGCTTTTTTGAGCTTCTGGATTGATTTTGGTGGTGAGCAACTGCTCGAGCACGATTACGTCCTCTCTCTTTCTAAAATTGGTTGCATTCAAGCGGAAATGGAACAGAAAAAACGACGGAGGAGTAGCATAAACTTAGAAAAAAAAAGTTTTCTCGAAAAATACAGTAATTTGTAATTTCTGCGAGATTCGGTGCTGGAGGAATACAGGAACATTCTGAGAGGGAACTGAGAAAGTTTGGATCATCTGCTGGAGCTAGTATAGCTCGAACTTGAGAAGGATACAAATATGCGTGAAGCGGTTCCTGCAAGCCAGAGACTGCCTATCTTTCCGAGGTACCTAGCGTTTGGCACAGATTTAGTTCTCCAATTACCGAGTGACTGACATGGCATCTACATGTTCAGTGGCTGTTTTGTCTACAGCCATGTCTACGCCTTGGTTGATACCGAGTGACTGACATGGTATCTACATGTTCAGCGGCTGCGATGTCTACCGCCATGTCTATGCCATGGTATCTACCGAGTGACTGACACGTTATCTACATGTTCAACGGCTGTGATGTCTACCACTATGTCAACGCCACGGTATATACTGAGTGACTGACGCAATGCTGGTCGGAAATAGCCCTAGACGATCAATCATTTCCTTTAACCGCCTGAGTCATTCAAACTTTCTATCAATAACCGTCAAGTCATGCGTCCAGCGTCAAACGGATTCGTACGCGGCCAATCACTTATGAATCAATCGGTTGATGCAAGCCATTTATATCGAGCCGCTTCATCGTTTAGGGACTCTGAAACCAACATTTCTGTCATTTGAACATGGGACATTTGTTTTAAAGTTACCACATTAACAATTTACTTGTGTTTGATGTAGACAAGTTTCTATGGAACATATTCATTGCACGCAAAATTGGGGACACTAAAGCATTTCCAACGAATAATTGGATAAAATTGTTGGATATCAAGCACTGCCTGCCATATCGCACTGAACCAGTTCAACCTTTCGTCTTGACTCTCGAGCAATGAATTTTTATTTACTGATGTTTTCCGATGGGGTGTAAAACATAGATGATGTGTGGGTAAAAGCGCATCGTCCCCCGTAAAGAAGCTAGCACCTCATTTATCAAGCCTTGCAGTGTTAAGGTTCGGTAATAACAATCGACTATTTGGTGTTGGCAAGAAAGTACTCAAAAAAAGAAATGCTACCAGATATTGATATCACTGACGATCATAACGACGAAAAGTTTCTGATTCTCGACTTTATAAAGTTATCTGAAAATACTTCAAAATTGTCTCACCTACATTTTAACCAAAATAATATTTTTTTTTCATAAAAAGGCCTCCCACACTCACCATTCCAACAAAAAGGGAATTAATTTTTTATTTAATTTGATTAAAAATAATTGATATATAGTTTGGGGAGTTATCCTTTTAATACAAAAATTTTAACTCTCGTGACGATGAACCTAGAGATGATTTTGCTTAAGGGGCTATTCATTAAGTACGAATAACCAGAAAAAGTCAGTTCGGGTTATTCGTATACAGATCAGAAGGTGCTCGATTGGGCAAGATGACCACGATTGGAGCAGCAGCTTGGTGGTTCGAAACCCACAACCAGTAATGTGAACAAAATTGCTGGTCGAAATCGCCAAGATGGCCAGATGATTAAGAGTTGGCCACAAGCCAACGTGACCAAATCAAGACTAAAGTCCTTAAATTATTGTACAAGCAGGTTAGCCTAGCACTGCCCGGGCTCGATAAATCCGGCAATTTATAATCCCACTATACCGAATGCCGGCAACTGCCAGATGACTCTCGGTTATGAAAGAAATATTTTACCAAGCTGAATTTAATTGATGAGTAACAATTCAAAAATCTACTTTTAATTTGTACTATTCTCCCTCTAAGAATTTATATCCTATAGTCTAGTTAATATCTCGGCACGATAAGTATCATGAACTTGAGCTCGATCAGCCCCTTCATATTTTAAAGAATTAGGCTTCAAACACGCACAAAAAACAAACATTCACACACAACAAGCACGCATACACAACAAACACGCACACACAACAAACATTCACACACAACAAACATTCACACACAACAAGCACGCATACACAACAAACACGCACACACAAACAAACGTTAAAAGATATTCATGATATTATTTTAGAGCATAGGTCAATAAATTAAACTTCTCAACGTTCCTGTTGAAGTACGAGTCATGTTTTTACAGTAAGTACCGATTGTAAATTACACCGCCATGGCCGCTGTTTAGCGCATGTGCGCTGTGTAGCTACATCTGTTTGGAAACCACAGACGCCATTACGGAAGCATCCGATCGAATCTACATCTACTTACGAGGTAATAAAATGACTCCATCTATTAAGAACTCCGCTCATTGTGAAGTGAAGTGTATCCTGAAAACATTATGAGTGATGGAATGGGGCGGAAATTAGTTAAGGATTAAAATATGGCCTCACAAACATTCATGATGAGAAACGAAAGGAGAGACTTTCTGTTCTTACCGATGATATGATGCTAAAAGTGACCTATAAAGTCAAAGACAGCCGACGATTCACGATTTCGTTATTAGCTGAAAAGTTTCCTGCTGTCTCAAGAAGTGTTCTTTGCGAAATTGTCTAATCTGGCCTCAAGCTTCTTGACGATGGCGTACGAAAGCTGGTCCCAAGATTCGATAAATGCCTCCATAGTGGGAACTATGTAGAGAAGTAAAATGTAGCCTTTCAAGTGAATAAATTGTTTTTTAGGAATTTTTTCAAGGTTCAAATGTCCGCGAGCCAACATTTTCGAGATATAAATTTACCTATTACTCAAGGCTATTTGTAAATCGTTGAAAGTTTGCATGAGCATCCATCCACTTTTGTGGTCACTGATGATAAGATAGCTGATCGGGACGGGAACATATAAAAAGCTAATAGCTTTAAATAGGCAACAATTCGTATTTAGAAGCTTCAATACCTAATCACGTCTTCCTATAGTTAATGACAGCGACCTTCTCCGGGTAAACTAGGCTATAT